GCTCCGAGCGCTTGGCTTCAGATCAGTGCAGCTCTGGCCGTTAAGGTTGCATGGGGAGTGAATCAACAGACGGAACATCTTCCTCTCTGTATATCTGATTTTCCAATAAAAATTAAAAATAAATCTTGAAAAAAGAATCCAGCTGTAAGTAGTTTGATTGAGTTTGTAGTGTCTTCACATCTCACAGTGAGGATTAGATTTATGAGTTATGGTGGAGTCATTCAAATCATAGATAGTCCTGCACAGTGCCCAAGCAATAGCTGTTCCAGAAAACTGCATGCACTGTGCTGCTGAGAAAGCAGCCTCTGGTTAGGGGAGGTCTGATGGCAGCAAGCGCAGGGTTGGTCTGCCGGGGTTTGCTTCCTGTGTCCTAATGTGTGATAGTTTGTGAACAGCCTGCAGCTCTCGCCATTTCACCATCTTCCTCTACAAATGGATCGGAACCAATGATTTTCGTATGTCTTGAGGACATGAAGCTTGTTTCTCTTCATGCAATGAGTTCAGCTGATGCTGTTGCCTTGGTGGCAGGATAATCTCCAACATCCCAGCAAGAAAGGACCTCTACTCCTGCTAGCCCCTGGCTACCCTTTGCCTTCCTGGCAGGTTCTGAGCAATTAAAGTGTATCGCAGCAACATTTCTTACTAATATTTGCATGGCTTCACTCTAAAAAGCTGAAGATCAAGACATTTCTTTTTTCTTTCTTTTTTTTTTTTTAGTTAGGAAGAAGAGACAATTGTTTAGTAAAGAGAACATTAGTGCTGAGATTGTGGCCAGATGTCAGGGCCAGGCCAGAAATCTTAGAACCACAGAGGATGGAGTAGCATCTGTGTTAGGCATGAAGGGGATGTCTCCCTAGGGCAAGTTTAAATTCCCTGTCAAGTCTCCTCAGTTCACTGGACCTCAATGGGAGCAGGAAATCATTAATTACTGACAACTCAGGTTCCAGTTCGTTTTCCAAAGCATTTCTTGTTTTTCAAGCCCTGTTTTCCCAGAACTAGCACATTGTGCTTCTTACTGGGAGGTGGGAAAAACCAATCAAGTACGAGTGGAAACCTTGAGCCCCTGGAGGTGAGCAAGGCTGGCGGTCCCGCAGCTTGGCAGGCAGCTCTGGGGAGGGTTCCCTGTGCTGCTGGGCTGCAGGCCGGCAGCTGGACCATTCTCCCACATGCCTGGTTTCTGACTCAGAGCTCCTAATGCCTCGTCGAGATTTTCTGGGCGGTAAAAGCATCGGTTGTCCTAACCAGGTTACTCTGGGCTACTTACTAGGTGGGAGCTGGTCACAAGAAAGACAAGACATGATTAGAAATACAAACATTTCAGCACCCACCCCTTTGGGGAGAGGGGAAGAGCTGGTGATTAGCTGAGTAACTGATCAGGCCTGTGGGATCAAGTTCTCATAAGAATTCCTAGGAGATGGGGTTCAGGGAGCTTCGGAGTAGTGAATGCTAATATGATACACCCCTAACTTCCTGGGGACAGAAGCTCCTGCCCTCAATACCCTTCCCGACTTGTCCCTCCAGAACTGCTGATCTGTCATGATAAATTGGGAATCACAAGTTAATTGCTTTCTTTGGTTCTGTGAGGCCATTTAGTGAGTCACTGAACCTCAGACGTGGGTTATGAAAACCTCTAAATGGTAGTCAAACTAGGCACAAGTGTGAGTAACCTGGGGACCTGCTAATTGCATATGGCATCTAAAGTGAGGGCAGGTGGAATTGGACCCGAGGGGAGAAGCAACAGAAGGCAGGGCTGCAAATTAGGAGGCTTGTTGAAGGCACAGGTAGGGAGACATGAAAGTTTACAGGCCAAGGCAGAGGAAGGCATGCTAGAGAGGAAAGGGATTTCAGAGATGTAGAAGAGTCAAAACTCACCTGGGTAAAGGGGAGGGAGGCTCCAGTTCAGACCTAGGGACAGCAGGAAGACCTGGACCAGGGCAAGAGAACCAAGAGGAGGTGTTGGCAGCTCAGCCTGGGGACCTTAAGACTTGAACAACAACCCAGGTATGGGCCAAGCTGATTATTGGATACACACGTAACAAGGGAAAATCTTACATTTTTAATTGCTTTTCTTCATTTATAAATGTTCCCACCCATCTCCTAGGCAATTAGCATCTATATGGCCTCAAAGAGGGCAGAATGCAACAGTAGTAACGAGGAAAAAAATGTTCATATCTATTTCTTTTAAAATTTCCAAACCAAGTGTTTGGAAATTGAAAGGTAAAGCCTGGAGTACAGCATAATTTAGAAGCTTATATTGTAAAAAGATGACAGTGCCAATATTCCTTTGGGCCCAATCAGTCAAGTATAAATCAGAGTTCTGGGCTCTTTCTCTAAGCTAAGGAACCTCATGTATTTATATACTGAAAGAATAACTGACCCAGATTGGAAAGCTATGTCCCATGACAACAGACTAGCATGTAAGATTTTAAGATTAATGGTTGCAGTTCACAGACGTTAACACTGAACTTATGAAGTTCAGACGTTGCTATGCATAATCTCTGGAGGTACTTTTATGGCTACAAGATGGGGAACAAGACGATTGTAAGTCTTTGTGTAAAGGGGCTTTCATTCTTGCACACCATTTTGATCTCATCTTACACCTGTGTCAATAACAGCATCTCCATCCCCAGAGAGTCCTTTCACAGCAGCGGTTAATGAAGAAACTTTCACGCTCTGCCTTCTGGCAGGACTTTATTAACCAGGAAGAATAGAAAACTTATTAAAAATGCAAGACTTAATAAAAATATGACCATTCTAAATATTTAAAGAAAAGATGCTGGAGTCCGTAATAGTATGCCTCCCCACAGAAAAAGGGCACGTAATGAGATGGAATGCTGCTATTCTTGGAAGAGGGTGGCCCCAAATAGGAAAGTCTCAGAAGTGGACATGTGTGTGATGAAGAGATCTGGAGTACGTTTGTTAAAGAGGAAGTCTAAGGTGAGCAGAGATTGAAATCTTGGTTCTACCAGTTGATTAACTCTGCAGCTGTAGACAAATTAACCCTTCTGTGCCTCCATTTCCTCATCTGAAAAGTGGAGTTTATTATTCTGGTAACTCATATCACAGAGTCGCTGGTAAGTATTGAGTTAATACATGCGAAACACTTGACACAATGCCCAGGACATGGTACTGATGGTCACTGCGGTTACAGAAAGTGGGTGGACACATTGACCTCAGCCAGAGATCTGGCACGCCCGAAGGAAGCCAAGGCCACGTACGGGCTAATGATGGACAAAAGCCAACATTCCCTGTCCTATCAGGATTCAAGCACGGCTGAAGCCAGCATCCATGTCAGAAGGGATATAAAATCTTTGTCTCCACTATTCAGCTTGTCTTTCCCACTCTCCTCTCCTGTTCATTGCTCCACTGCATGGGAAAGGGCCAGGAACGGACTTCCCTTTGAATAATAAAGTCCTGTTTGTACTTGGCTGGTATTTTCTTTCTCAGGTGGTCAGCAGATCTAACAGGTACCTACTAAATAAGAGTCTGCTGGCATTGCTGTTGCTGTCTGATAGAAAAGACTTGGCGGTAGGGGGACAGGTGTGGTCCTAGAGCCTGGCCTCCTGACTCAACACCTTTAGCCCTGAGAAAGAGAACTCTTCTCCAGGTGCAGGAGAGATGGATGACGGAGGGTCACAGATGGCCATGGATTCGACTTGAAAGGCTGGAAGCTGACCAAGAGTCTAATGACAGCCACTATTTTGAACAGCTGAATTAGCTGGGAGAGGGAACACACTACTTTTTACTTTAGAAATACTGCATTTGCTTCTTGGTGGGTATGCTAGCTCAGTCCCCGCAACCTCCACCGCCCGGGTTCGATCTGCAACAGCTGTTTCACATCAAACAGAAAAACCAATCAATACTTGTCACTCGACTAGCAGAATATCTAAAACCCAGATTTCTCATTTTCAAAAACGTATACCTCGTGGTTGCACATGAATATACACACAAGTACCTTCAGTTCATTTACAGGCTGTAGATAAGAGCGGTCAAGGCACAAGGTAAAACACACTCGGAAATGGGCCGGAAAACTGTCCGAAACTTCGAGGTAAAACGGACGGTAATGGCGGTGCAGCCTACGGTGAGCGGATGTGTGCACGCCTGAGTGTGCACAGTCAGAGAAGCCAACCGAGGGACCCGCTCACTAGGTGGCAGAAGTCCTCGCTGAGCTGACAACCCCGTCTGCCTCTCTAGGTCCGGGCCCAGTGCGGGTCTCACTCCTGGCTGAGGGAGCAACCTCCTTCTTCAGCGTGTTTAGATTGTTCCCTCGGGGAAGCACCCCGTCCCCGTTGTATTATGGTGTGCGTTCTTTGCTAAGCATCCCTGCCCTCCCTTCAGCCACCATAAACTCTAAAGCACCTTGTGTGCAAGGCAAATTCCGTAACTTAATCATTTTTGCAGTTCCTCTGGTGATAAACATACTCCATTCTACACGACCGGCTTTCAGTACATACCTGGCCCGTGTGTAAATATTTGTTCAATATTTGAGTGTGATCATTTACAAGAGTTAACAAAACATCTAAGTATTTGTTTTCTTAGCAGAATACGATGACTACTCTATGCTAATACATTTGTAATCCATGTTTCAAGGTCAAACACATCTGTAAATCAAACTTACAGGATATTACACTTTCTGAACCCAGATCTAAGTGCTTGCCACTGGGAAAGAACTTCAGCTTTTCCGGGATGTTCTCAAGGGCTGACACTTGCTGTAAGAACCGGCTGGTTTCTCTTTAGCTCGCGGCGAAGGCGCCCCTGTTATGCAGCAACTAGGAACTGCACGGAGACGGAAGAGGGGGGAGGGAGCGGGACGGCGAAGTGGGCGTGTTGTGTCCTTCCCACCAACCCGTAGTTCGAGGCGGACGCCCGGGCGGCGCGCGGCCGTTTGAAAAGCCGCGTGTTCAAGTAACGGCTGCGTGCGGGGGTGTGTGGCTGGTTCCGGGCGGCTGGCGGCGGCTGAGGGCGGCTGAGGGCGGCTGAGGGCGGGGCGGGCTCTTGCTGTGGGCCGCTCGGTGCCGGCTTCCAGAACGGCTGGCCTGGCGACGGCGGAAAGCGGGCTCCTCTGGACACCGCGGCCGGGGTGAGTCCGGGGCTCGGGGTGGGAACCCCGCGGCCGGGGTGAGTCCGGGACTCGGGGTGGGACCCCCGCGGCGGCGGTGAGGGTGAGTCCGGGACTCGGGGTGGGACCCCCGCGGCCGGAGTGAGTCCGGGGCTAGGGCTTCGGAGAGCGGTCCCCCCCATCCCCGGGCAGGGCAGGCGGCGGGCCGTGGGGTCAGCTCTGTCCAGCGCCCGGGAGCCCCGGGCCGCGTGAGGGGCGCTGAACGTCCGCAGTCCGCGGACCCGGACTTGCCCTTTCTTGACGTCCGACCTGCTTCTGGGTGTTCGCTGCTCTTTCTCGTGTTGTTTTCCCGCTTTCGGCCACCCACCCGTGCCTCGGCTTTGCACGCCGTGTCCTGGTGTCTGACAAGGAGTCATTCCTGAATGACGTGTGGCTGGGGTTGTGAGTGCTTCACGAGATGCTGGCCAGTCATCGCCCTAGTGTATCTTGATGTTGGCGATTTTTCACTGTTATCTAAATACGACCTTTCTGATTTGAAACTAGTGTTTTCCTTTTAGCAGTTAATGTCTGTAGAATGTATACAGCATACCATTGTGTGCAGAATCTACTAGAGTGGCTAGTGGCCAAGAACGCCACTCAGTAGACCAAGACCTAGACCTAACTCAGTGGTCAGTTCTCAGGGTTTAAACATGCCAGCAGGCACCGAGGTCAGCGAGGTCAGGTGACAGAGACACGCTGGTGACCAGTGTCCGCTTTATTATGCACAAGTTTGGGTTTTAAAGGGGAGGGCAGGAGGACTTCTTCCCGCAGACGCCATCGCAACCCTCCAAAGACAGTGTAATTGGCTAGAAAACACGTGTATTTCCCTTCCTGTTGGAGGTCAGGCCTGGAGGCTGTGCCTCTCCTCCTGGGCAGGTTAGCTCTAAATCAGCCCAGCAGGGCAGGGCCCTGGGGCCATTGTCCACAGTCAGTAACGGGAAAAGTTGCTTTGGGATGGAACGAACTATGGTGTATTTAGGTGCAAATACCTTATGAGAGTGGAGGTTAGGCTTGGAGTTTTCTAGGATATAGTGGACTGTTAAAAAGATCTCTGCTTGGGGGGGACCCCAGAGTGGAGCAGGCAGACAGGAGGAGGCTTGTATCCCAACCCTGAAGACTCTTAGATCCTCCCCAAGGACTAGCAGTACGAGCTCTGAGGACTACATCCCAACCGCCAAGGAGACCACAGGGAATTGGAGTGCCTTCGGAGAACTCCGAGGTCATCCACCTCCATTTGGATCTCCCACATGGGATGGAAGAGGCCCATACCCTGCCTTGCAGGATCCAAGGTCATTGGAACGACAACCAGGAGCACTGAGCGGTCTGCAGAAACAAAACAGTAAACTTCCTTCGGGACTAGGGAGAGGAGCTTTCTTTGGTTCTTGCATGGTGCCAACTTTGGGTCCCCACCCATCAGGATCCTCTAGAAACCCCCCAAAACAAACAAACAAACAAACAAACAAACAAAAACCTAAAATAGAGAACAGCAAGGAAAGCTTAGAAACAGGAAATGGGCAGTGAGGATGCACTTACAACTCACTGGGTGGGACACGAAGATTAGTTACTCCTCACTAGGGTATTGAAGATTTCTCTGCACACCCCTCTTAAAACTGTTCACCTAAACTGTTGACATGTCTTGTTAGAGTTATAGAGTTAGACTACCCAAGACAGCCAGGTTCTGCAAAATCATGCTTCAACGCTATAAACTGCTAAATACTAAAATTAAAATAGACATGGGACAGCTGAATAGTAATCTATAGCCATTTTAAGGTGTATAGAACCCAGTTGTATATAAACTAATAATTGTAATGTCAATGTAGAAGTCACAGGAGCGGCACTCTTTTTTTTTTCTCTCAACATGCTGGTTACACAATGCCATGTCAGCTAATTCCATTACGTTATAAATTGTTACTGATGTAATGTCAGGGTTTTTAATTGATTGGGAAGATACTCTGTCGGCTCTACCTTCAGACCAGAGACGGTCTCCCCAAGAAACTGTTGAACTTATCTGGGCAATAAGATGCTGGACTCTGTGCTTTGTAGATGCTTGCAAGGAAAGAATCTCAACTGAATTTGAACTGTGGTAATGCAACAAGAATCCACCATGTGGGGGGAGGGGACGGGTTTTGGGGAGAAGTGGGGGGAATCCCAGTGCCTATAAAACTGTGTCACATAATGCAATGAAATCAATAAAAAAAAAAATCTCTGCTTGAACCTAGTTTTTAATTGGAGATTGATTTGAAACAAAACAAAAATCCACCCCTTGGGCTGACAGGGAAAAGGCATTTGACTTCCCAGCACTCCTGCTTTTCAGGGGGTTTTTTGCATCTTGCTTTTGCTGGCCCCTCTTTTGGCTTGTGTTGAGTTTTTGTTGTTTCCGCCCTAAGTAATGTTGCTGAGACGCCCTGGGACTTGATCCTGTCTAACTGGGTTTACCGGGTGGATGGTCTTACTCAGGCTCTTAGCTGGAAGGCTGTGTGCTCCTCTGCAACTTGGGTTCCACACCTGCACCCACCTCTGCTATGAAGTGTAGGAGGCAGAGATAGCATTTATCTTTTGGTATAGTTGAGTGTTGTTTTTGTAATCTAGTGTGTAAATTATTGAAGCACAACTTTCAATCACTAGTAGTATGAAGGCAAATCATCTTAGCTCTAGGGCCCGGCGCCGTGGCCTAGCAGCTAAAGTCCTCACCTTGCATGCGCTGGCATCCCATATGGGTGCCAGTTCTAGTCCAGGCAGCTCCACTTCCCATCCAGCTCCTTGCTTGTGGCCTGGGAAAGCAGTTGAGGTCGGCCTAAAGCCTTGGGACCCTGTACCTGCTTGGGAGACCTGGAGGAAAGTTCCTGGCTCCGGCTGTTGCGCTCACTTGGGGAATGAATCATCGGATGAAAGATCTTCCTCTCTGTCTCTCCTCCTCTCTGTATATCTGACTTTGCAATAAAAAGAATAAATCTCAAAAAAAAATGTAGCTCTAGATTTTAATTTCCTTATTGTAAGTAAAATTGAAATAAGTATTTGTTGGTCTTTTTCAGCTCTCAAATTTTGTGTTTGTAATAAATGAATCAAAACATTACAGTAACTTTTTCTTAATGAGACCTGTTTTCTTTATAATTGCAGTGCAGCTTTCAGCTTATTTTCATCATTGGAGCTACAGTTGTTGTTAAAATGGAAGAAGTTAATGCTTTCAAAACACCAAGCAAATTACTTGAAAGAAGGAAATCTGGTAAGACAGCAGATGTCAGACTTCTTTGTTGTTGCTGTTAGAACTGTCTTAGTATTGTGATAGTTTGTTCCTATAATATGTACCATTCCCAAGCAGTTTACCAGAGCCCCCTTTATAATATTAATCTGAACAAATTGTAGCTCAAGATTTATGAGCTAGTTTTACTGACACTTTAGTGAAGTTTTTGCTGCTAAAGGGTCAGCTTAGCTTGAACCATTAAAGAAACTGCTTTCCTTTTCCTCCTCTCACCTGTGCGTTGTTGTTGTGAGGGAAAAATCTTTTACAAGGCCATTCAGTAGGCAAAGAAGTCTCCTCAACAAATAATTGGAAAACCATATGCAAAAATGAACTTTGACTCACAACTTAGACAAGCCTCAGTGGCTAAAATTGCAAAATTTCCAGGGAATTGTGCAGGAGAAAATGTTGTTCATTTCTACTTACCTATGTTGCCTTTGCATCCTGCAACTGTAATTTGACTCACGTTTTGTTAGCTTAATGTGTTGCTAAATAATAATAGTTGATCATGTTGGAGGCGAATAAACTGTTTTCCCCTCCAGTCTGTATTGTTTTCTTTCTTTTTCTTGCCTATTGCACTGGCTCCAGTAGCTCTTTGGATAAAAGTGGTGGACATTATTGCTTTGTTCCCACTGTTATGTGTGAGACGAAGCTTTTGACAGATGTCCTCACTGCTGGAGAACTTTCCTTCTGTTCCTGTTGAACTTTTACCAAGAGCTTTTTCCAAATTTAGCCGTAGGAAGTTTAAACATTAGGCCAGCTTTTCATTCATGAGGTGAAGCCGTTTGGTTGTGATGTATTTTATAATTTACCTGAATTGCTTTGCAAGTATTTTCTGTATCCATGAGGGCTATTGGACTACAGTTGTTTCTCTCTCTTTTTTTATTTTTGGAATGTGTCTCATTTTGGTAGCAGGAGTGTTCTTTGTTTATAAAGTGGTTGGGGGTGTTTTTTTCTTCTAGTGTGCAAATATGCTTTTCCTTAAGTCAGTGTGGAATTCATAATTTTACTTGTAATCTTGTGGAATTCACCAGTAAAGCTGACCTGGAGGCTTCTCTGGTGGCAGATTGTCCGTGTGGATTCATGGTTAAGGGAGGGAGAGGCTGTTCACGTTAGTTGTGTGTCATCCTTGGGAGCTTTGATGATCCTTTTCAGGGATCCTTTTCAGTCAGTTTTTAAGTTGTCATACGTTGGCCTAGTTTATTAGGCAGTGCTATGTAATTACTTAGGTTAAATGGGAACTTGTCTAAACGCGTCATCTAGTTTGCTTTCTGCCATGATGAGTAAGTTCTATTTTATACCTTTCAGTGTACTGGCCATCAGCTACATGTGATTATTGGGCACTGGAAATGTAATTCATGCTGCTAAGGAATTGAGTTTGCAGTTCAATTTAGTTTAATTTAATTTCAATCCAGATTTAAATAGCCATGTATGTCCAGTGATAAAACAGTCCAGATAGAGGCATTAGCAGTCAGAATGGATGAAAACAGAGTAAGATATAATTATACTGTTTATTATAAATTCTTTTTTTAAGATTTTTTTTTTTATTAGAAAGTGAGATATACAGAAAGAAAGATCTTCTGTCCGCTGAGTCATGCCTTAAGTGGCTGTGATGGCCGGAGCTGCACCGATCAGAAGCTAGGAGGCTGGAGCCTCTTATGGGTCTCCCACACGGGTACAGGGTCCCAAGGCTTTGGGCTGTCCTCAACTGCTTTCTCAGGCCACAAGCAGAGAGCTGGATGGGAAGCAGGGCTGTTGAGATTAGAACTGGCGCCAATATGGGATGCCAGCGCATGCAAAGCGAGGACTTTAGGTGCTAGATTGTTGCACCAGGCCCAATAAATTCATTTTAAGTATAAAGACACAAATATAGTAAAACCATTAAGGCGGAAACCCTTATCTATTCTAACACTAATCAAAATAGAGCTGTCTGGCTGTGTTAACATTATTTAAAGTGCACTTCAGAACAAAGATTTGAAAAAATGATGATATTAGTGTGGAAACAATGGTCTTACCCACTTTCCTATAGCCCTTGACCCTTTGTACCCTAATCAACTATGTAAGATTATCAATAAATAAACAAATTTTAAAAAAACAGAATACCACCCAAAATAGATACTTTATAATAAGCAAGAAGTAAATCTATGAAAAGAAATAACTATCTAAAATATGTATGTACCAAATAGCAGTACTTCAAAAAATGTGAGACAACAGCTGATTAAACTGAAGAGACACCCCACCATTGCAGTTGGAGACTTCATCATTTTTTTCTCAGTGATTATTAAACTAAGCAAAAAGAAAATAAGTATGGATATAGAAACTGAACAAAGCAGCATAAATGGGCCAGTAAGCTTCACTTAATTGACATTGATGGAATACTGCACCCACAACAGGTAGAAAATACAACCTTTTCTAGTGCATACAACACCAAGATAGGTAAAGCCTGAAGTCAGCTGACTCAGAAAAATATAAAATACCAGTCCTGAAAATGAAAAAGATATTAGAAGAGTACACGGAGTATTTGCCATACTGTTATGCTCTGAGTTTTACTTTATATTATTTGGCATTTAAAAATATTTCTACCTTAAGGGTCTCATCTGCTATTGTTTTATGGCACGTTTTGTTTATTTTTATTCTGGCATAGGTCATACCATTGCTGCATTTTGTTATACCTTTAAAGAGTATTTTTATTTTCCAAAGTGTTGAGTTCAGTTCAGGGCTATATCCCTGTTCTGTTAATTAAACTTTGGGACATTGAAAGGGGCTAGGAGATGACACAATTGGATAGAGAATATCATTCTATTCACTTATCTCCCAGCCTACAGCAAAAAAAGGAAAAAGTATTTTTATTGATGTTAAATCCACCTGCATGTTAGCCTGTTCCTTTTGAGACTTCATCTTAAGCTTTGTGAGAAACTTTTTCTTGAGTTAAAACTGAGCTGCACCAAGGCCTCAGGTTAAACAGAGCTGAGCCTGGCTGGTTGCTGATACAGGCACTGCTCCTGGACCCAGAGTGGTGTGCTATAAATTGTTTTCCTTCGGCACTTTCCCAGCTTTGGGGAGGGGAGTCTACCCATCAGCCTAGTACTTGACCTTCAGAACCTTGGCGCTAGGGCGTGTATTCCTCGTCCCTCTGCAACTTGAGCCCCTGCCTGCCTCCCTTCTTCGATTCTCCTCCATGGACATTGGTCACCCAGGCCTCTTTTGCCCTTTGAGCTCTGCCTCTGTTCTAGGAGACTGTTGAGCTCTGCTTCCTCTCTGTGCTATAGCCTGGAAACTGGCTTTGATTATGTTAGAGCGGTGATAGGTCTCACCCTGTTTCCTCTCTCCCAGGGATCACAGCCTTACCTTACTTGTCAAGTGTCTGAGAATCACTATATGTTTGAAGTTTCTTGGTTGCTCTTGGTGAGATGAGATGGCAGTTGCAGGTGCAGTGCTTCGTGAACAGAAGTAGAACCTCTTCTGTGTTATCTAAGTTCCTACAGTGCTGTGTAACACATGCTATAATTACCGCATCTAATGAGCTCTTAGATTTTTGTCTAAGGCACAAAAGCAAACCCCAGTATTTACATGAGAGATCTGTTTTGGCACATGCTGTGTAGCCCCAGAGTCAGCAAACTTCATCAAAAGCCAGATAGTACAGAGTTTAGGCTTTGCGGGCCACACTGTTTTACATCTTTTTACTTATTTGCTTATTTATTATTTATATATTTATTTATTTTTTAAGATTTATTTCATTTTTATTGGAAAGGTGGATATACAGAGAGGAGAGACAGAGAGGAGATCTTCTGTCCAATGATTCACTCCCCAGGCAGCCGCAAGGGCTGGAGCTGAGCCAATCTGAAGCCAGGAGCCTCTTCCGGGTCTCCCATGCGGGCGCAGGGTCCCAAAGCTTTGAGCCGTCCTTGACTGCCTTCCCAGGCCACAGGCAGGGAGCTGGATGGGAAGCGGGGCTGCCGGGATAGAACCGGTGCCCATATGGGATCTGGGGCGTGCAAGGCAAGGACCTTAACCACTTGCGCCACCATGCCGGGCCCACATCTTTTTATTTTTTAACAACTCCTTAAAAGTATGAAATGCTTATTAGCTTATAAACGGCACAAGACAGATCATTTTACCAGTTTTATTGTTTCTGTAGGAGATAGCTCCAAGGGTTTGTATGTAAAATTGGTGTTAGTAATTGTCATATTATTTGCCAAGAAGATTATGCCAGTTAACACTCATGCTCTCAATATGTTATTGCTGTGAGTGCTCTTTTGTAGCGGTGTTTTCAAATACTAATTTAATTTTTCTTGCTCATGTTTAGCATTATGTTCAACTCCATCTTTTACGATTCCTGCCTCTCCATTTATGCAGAAGCTTGGTTTTGGTACTGGGGTCAGTGTTTACCTTATGAAAAGGTGAGTATAAATTTCAGGTTGCCTTTTCTTATGTGAAGCCACAGTTCCACTGTACTTGACAAAAAGGCTATGGAAATTCAGATATTTACATTTGGGTTAAATTGCTGATCCTACTGACTGCTATGTTCTAGTTCTTAGAATCTTCGCTAACTTGTCCAGACCTATGTCTTACATACTTCTCTCTGTTTCTTCCTGATGCATTATTAAAGGAGAATTATTTTTTTCTTATGCTTTTTCTTTAGTTTCTATAAGAAGGGGAAATGACAGGAGAAATTGTGTGTGTGTTTTAGTAATCACACGATTGTTAGCTACAACTCCTCCTTGACATGTAGGTGTTGGATGTTGCTTTCCCAAGCTAACTATTTTACATAGGATGCAAATGTTTTTCTTTACAGTGGCATCACTATAATCTAAGATGGACAAATACTTGATTTTAAAGTAGGAAAATAGTGGCAAGGGCTTGTCCTGATGGAGCTGTCATGCAGTGAGTTCAGCTGCCAGCTGTGACACTGCTATCCTGTATTAGAGCACCAGTGGGCTCTCCCGATCCATTCCCTGCTAATGTGCTTGGGAAAACAGTGGAAGATTGCCTGAGTATTTGGGCCCCTGCCACTGCTGGGCATTCCTGGCTCTGGCCAGACCCAGTTCTGGCTCCATGGCTGTCCTGTCACCATGCCTTCAGAAACCAAAAAAAAAAAACGGAGGGGGTTTGAAGGATTTTATTTGTTTGAAAGTAATGCTAGCTCCAATAAAATAAGTTAAAAAGTAATTTTGTACATAGTTTTATGTTAAGTAGCAGGTGACCAAGGCAGTATTTGTTCCTTAATACATTCTTAGAATCAACCTGATTAGCTCAACCCTACCTGTCAGTTTCCAAATAGATATGCTTCCTGTAGCAAGAAGCTAATGAGAATGGGCCATCAGTTATATACAAGTTTGAACACCCAGGTGTTAATTGTGTTTGCATTGCCATTTTTAATTAGTAAACACTTGTTTGTTTTTTTTTTTGGTAGCTCATATTATTTTGAAAGGTAACAATTTTTGCTACTCTTCACTCCTTTTTTTGTTTTGTTTTTAAGTATTTTTAAAAATATAAAGTGTATTTTTAAAAAGTAATGTATGTGATATATGTGGCATGGTGAAAAGATTTGTGTAGCTGATCTTGAAAAACCCTACCATGTTCTATGCAGCCTGTCAACCTGGGATTTGCTATGTAGATAACCTAGAGATTTCTTTTGCTTTTCTGCAGAATTGGCTATCCTGTTTCTCTGTATTTGTGCGTTTTTGTTTTGTTTATCCCATTTTGGATAAGGAAATCTGGTAATTCCCCATGAAAAGGTACACAGGAGATTTTTGAATATTTGCATTTTTCTAAATATTTTCATTTTTTCCTCATGCTTACAGGCCCTTTTCTGGTTTGGAATTATTGGAAATAATTTTCTGGTAGAATTTTGAGACTGTCAGTCACTTACACTGTTGCTGTAGAAAGTCTTGAATCCTTTCTGATTGTTGATTGTTTTTATGTGATCATCTGTTCTCTGTCCCACCCTCTGCCCTACATCTGTATTCTGTGCTGGTTGTAGTGTCCTGAAAGTCCACAATGGTAGGCCTGAGTGGGGGACCTTCCTAGCAGGTTCTGTTTTTAAATTTTTTAACAGTTGTTTTTTTTTTTTTTAATTTAAATACTTTTTTTTTTTTTATTAGAAAGTCAGGTTTACAGAGAGAGAGATCCTCCACACGCTGGCTCACTCCCCAAGTGGCCACAAAGGTTGGAGCTGAGCCAGTTGGGAGCCAGGAGCTTCTTCTGGGTTACCTATGCAGGTTCAGGGTCCCAAGGCTTTGGGCTGTCCTTGACTGCTTTCCCAGACCACAAACAGGGAGCTGGAAGGGAAGCAGGGCTGCTGGGATCCCAAGGCGAGGACTTGAGCTGCTCAGCTACTGCACTGGGACCCTGTTCTTAAATTTTTGAGAAAGTAAATTTTTAAAATCTCTTCAGTGATTTCACTGCTTTTTCCCCTCCCTCTTCTCCCCCTGGAATCCTATCTGGATGTTGAATTTACCAGATGGATCTCTGATGTACCATTTTTTGCTTGATTTTCTGTTTTCTATTTAGTTCACAGGTTCTCAATTGCTAAGCCCTGGACTCTGGACCCTTTGTTTTTCTTATCAGCTTATGTGTACCTATACTAACTGTCTTTGGTGATCTGCTCTACTCATAATTAAATGCCTACCTTGTCAGACGAACCTTTCCTTTTGTTTTACCTGTTTTCTTTTTTTAGGCCTTAAAACATTCACTACCAGATGTTTGTAAAATGGCTCAATCTTCCTGGGGAGAATAAAAAGTTTAGATTTCTTTCATTTGTGTGTTTATGGGGGTACTTCAAAAACTTCATGGAAAGTTGAATTAAAAGGTAAATTTATTTCTGTGCAAAAAAAAAAAATTTGAAATCCATTTGTTGGAAGTACCTTCGTGTTTGTTGAAGAACAGCTTGCTATTCTTTGAGTTCTACAGAAAGTTGTGGAAAGTGTGTATAAGGAAGGAACTGTTTTGCACCAGAATAAACTTACCTTCTGATTTTGTGTTGTAGAGTCTTTTGAAGTTCCCCCATTTATGGGGTGTTTTTAGTGTATCTTTTCAAGTTGAATTTCTTAGTGATTAGTAGTGTTACCACTTTAATTTCATGTAACTAATCTCCAGTCCATAAAGTTAAATGTTTGGCAAGTAATTGGTAGTCTGACATGTTTGAATAGAAAAATTTAGAAGGGCCAGTGTAGTGACTTAACAGGCTAATCCTCTGCCTGCAGCATCAGTATCCCATATGGGCACCAGTTCATGTCCCAGTTGCTCCATTTCCCATCCAGCTCCCTGCTTGTGGATTGGTAAAGCAGCAGAGAATGACTTAAGTCCTTGTGACCCTGTACCCACATGGGAGACCCAAAAGAAGCGCTTACCTTCAGATTGGTTTAGCTCCAGCAGTTGCAGCCATTTGAGGAGTGAACTAGTAGATAAGATTCTCTGTTTCTCCTTCATATAAAAATATGCATTTCCAAGAAATAATAAATCTTTGGAGAACAAAAATTTAGAGAGTAGTGTGTTCCATGGCTAAACTTGTTCTCTCCCCCAGTTCATGGATATCCAGTTTTCCTGCTGGGTCAGAGATCCGTCTCCCAAGTGAAAGGGACGTGGAGCAGAGGTGATGAGTGCACATTATTTAAAAAAATTTTAAACAGTAAGTTTCTTACAGAAAATATATGAAAGTAGAACTGATTAAAAATGCTCACGTCAATTTAAGAAATGTTAAGCCAAGGCTCTAGCTTCTGCTGGAGAAAACAAAATCGCTAACAGGGTTATTCACCATTTGGAAGCTCTTGTAAATTTTTTGAAAATGTATTATTTTTAATTTCTGTGTTTTTAAAGTTTATACATGCATATACACACATTTTTAGATCTCCAAGAGGTTTGTCTCATTCCCCCTGGGCTGTGAAAAAGATTAATCCTATCTGTGATGATCATCATCGAAGTGTGTATCAAAAGAGACTAACTGATGAAGCTAAGATTTTGAAAAGCCTTCATCATCCAAATATTGTCGGTAAGTTTAAATGTACTTGTACTTGGCAGCAGTGTCTGGTATATTATTCTGTTTGTCTTGAGTTTATGTTCTTGGTTAATTGGTTTCACTGATAAAAATGAAGAAGGGCTTGGGGGTTAGCAAGAATAAAATTTATATGTGCAGTCCAAAATAAAATTTGCATATATACATATTTTTAAAGATTTATTTTTATTGCAAAATCAGACATTTAGAGAGGAGGAGAGGAAAAGAAAGCTCCTCCATCTGATGATTCACTCCCCAAGTGACCACAAGGCCAGAGCTGAGCCGTTCTGCGCTGGGAGCCAGGAGCTTCTTCCGGGTCTATCACGCAAGTGCAGGGTCTCAAGGCTTTGGGTCATCCTCGACTGCTTTCCCAGGCCACAGGCAGGGAACTGAACAGGAAGTAGGGTAGCTGGGGTTAGAACCAGTGCCCATATGGGATCCTGGCATGCTCAAGATGAGGACCCCAGCCACTAGGCCACTGTGCCAGGCCCAAAGTTTCCATATATTTTTACATTTAGGGGAATAAGATACACTTACTATGGTGCCGGTACTATGGAGATTTCAGGAATATAAAATGATCTTCATGTAGGTAATTTAAATTTATTAAATAATTTTCTTGGAATCATAGGAGTAAAAATATTTTAATTTGGGACACATGGAAGGCATTCACATTAAATATGTTAGATCTACAGGATTTTGTAAACAACAGGTATTTTATTATATTACACTCGCACATGTAGGTCCAGAACCATGTTGTTAATCTCATTCCTGTAACAAGCATAGATGATTGATTTTTCCTGATTCTAGAAAAGAACTGTTGTGTTTTCTGTAAGGTTATCGTGCTTTCACCGAGGCCAGTGATGGCAGTCTGTGTCTTGCTATGGAGTATGGAGGGGAGAAGTCTCTAAATGACCTAATAGAAGAACGAAACAAAGACTGCCAGAAGCCTTTTCCAGCAGCTGTAATTCTAAAAGTTGCCTTGAATATGGCAAGAGGATTAAAGGTAATGACATATTTTGTCACTTTTGTGGAATATGAAGAAATTGAGCATTTTATATACTGAATCACAAGGTGGGACGGTTTTTCTCTTTTTTGTTTTTATAAATATTTATTTATTTTTACTGGAAAGTCAATTATACAGAGAGGAGAGACAAAGATCTCCTGTCTACTGATTCACTCCCCAAGTGAATCAGCCAGAGCTCAGCCAATCCGGGGTCAGGAGCCTCTTCCGGGTCTCCCATGTGGGTCCAGGGGCCCAAGGCTTTGGGCCATCCTTGACTGCTTTCCCAGGCCACAAGCAGGGAGCTGGGTGGGAAGTGGGGCTGCTGGGATTAGTACCGGCACCGACATGGGATCCCAGTGCATGCTAGGCAAGGACTTTAGCTGCTAGGCTGCCATGCCGGATCTGACAGTTTTTCTCTTAAAAGAGGAAGTTCTTAAAAGTCAAAGTCTTCATGTAGTCTATCGTGTTGTGCTATGCATTATTTATTTTTGATCAACCTAGGCCCTTCATGTTGCTCCCAGGTAACCTCCCAAGTAGCTTAGCTATAGAGATCACCTGTTAGATTTGCTTAAACAAATCACTGCGTTTCATACAGCAAACCTCCTAATGGTTACTTTATGGGATATTGTTGTTAAATTTTGCAACTCATAGGTATATTTTATAGTTCTGATAAAAAAAGAAACTTTCAGTGTTAGGCAAAAAAATTATGCTTTATATAGACACAGTGAAAGGATTACAAAAACTTTATATACAAAATGAACATAAACACAAGTAATGGTGACCGATAACTTTTTGGATGACTCGAAAGCAGATTACATACTGGAATACTGATCAAAGTGCATGTTAAGGACTCCAGTGGGGGCAGGCATTTGACCTAAAGAAGAACATACTGTCCCATGTCCTAGTGCCTGTGACAGCTGACTGTGTACCTTATTCTTATGCAGATTCTGGGAGACAGTGGCGACAGCTCAAGTGATAGAGCTAGACTGAGTTATTGGCGCTCGGCATTGGCCACCCTCGACTTCTGTGGGCATTCAGGGAGTGATCTCCTGCTGCTTGATTTTTAAAAACAACAAAATTGATATATGAATCAGATTGAAAAAAAATCAGTTTCTGAAAATTGCAAAATTATTTCTAAAAATTAGCCTCAAGTAAAACTGAAGTATATTTTGTAATCTGGAGTGGCATCTTCTGATGCAAAAGTATTAGGGATGGGTTTGAAAATCCTAACATGTCTGCAAATCTACTTTAATAGACAGTCTTTTTAGGGTGGCCATTTGGCACAACTTAGGGTGGTTGTGTCCCCATCTGATTGCCTGGATTTGTGTCCCAACTCTACTTCCAGTTCCAGATTCCTGATGATGCATAGGGTGGGGAGCAGATGTGATGGCCCAAACACTTCTGTTGCTCCATCCCATGTTGGAAACCTAGGTTGAATTTTTAGGTCCCTGGCTTCAACCTAGCCAGAGCCTGACTATGACAGCAGTCATTTGGGGAGTGCCAGTAAATGGGAGATGTCTTATTTCAAATTAAAAAAAAAATTGTATCTTCTAGATTTTTGATCCATATGGCAGATGTTTTCTTGGTCTAGATTAACATAATTTAAAATTATGGGGTAAATATAAGCTTGTAGTTTTGTATGAAATATATATTTCACTAGTTTGTATTTCTACTCATAGTGTAAATGCTGTACTGTTTTCAGTATCTTCACCAAGAAAAGAAACTTCTTCATGGAGACATAAAGTCTTGCAATGTTGTAATTAAAGGTGATTTTGAAACAATTAAAATCTGTGATGTAGGAGTCTCTCTACCATTGGATGAAAATATGACTGGTAAGTAGTTCTTAACATTTTTAGTTTTTAAATACGTGATTCAAAAATCAACTGTGTTTAGAGTATATAAAGTCTCCCTTTTCTGTCTTGTTTTTCTCTCAATCTCTGGTTTCCACCATTACCACCATGAATTACTTGCTTATTAGTATGTGTTTTAACTTCTCAGTGGTAAAACATTAAGGAATAGAAAAAAAAATAGTTTTATGAAGGGAGTTATATAGCATAAGTAAAATTAGAAGATTTAAAAGCTGGTAGAAGGGCTGGGCGCTGTAGCATAGTGGCTAAAGTCTTTGTCTTGCACACCTTGGGGATCCTATGTGGGCGCTGGTTCTAATCCCAGTGGCCCTGCCTTCCATCCCTGCTTGTGGCCTGGAAAAGCAGTCGAGGATGGCCCAAAGCCTGGGACCCTGGATCCACGTGGGAGACCTGGAAGAAGCTCCTGGTTCCTGGCTTTGGACGGCTCATCTCCAGCTGTTGCAGCCACCTGGGAAGTGAACCAGCAGATGGAGTATCTTTCTCTCCTACTCTCCTACTCTTTGCAAAGATTTGCCTTTCCAAGTAAGATAAATAAATCTTAAAAACAAACAAAAAACCTAAGGAAAAGAAAATTTCAAAGTTAACCACATTTAGGCCATACAAGAAGCCCTACTGCAAAAAAGAGAAGAAATAGCCCAATACTAGAAGTGTTTTTTTTTTTTTTTAAAGATTTATTTTTATTATTATTTTTTTTTTCATTGGAAAGGCGGATATACAGAGAGGAGAGACAGAGAGGAAGATCTTCCGTCCGATGATTCACTCCCCAAGTGAGCCGCAACGGTCGATGCTATGCCGATCCGAAGCCAGGAGCCTCTTTCGGGTCTCCCACGCGGGTGCAGGGTCCCAAAGCTTTGGGCCGTCCTCTGCTGCTTTCCCGGGCCACAGGCAGGGAGCTGGAAGGGAAGCGGGGCTGCCGGGATTAGAACCGGCGCCCATATGGGATCCCGGGCGTGCAAGGCGAGGACCTTAACCACTTGCGCCACCGCGCCGGGCCCTAGAAGTGTTTTAAGATCATAAAGTTTTTTGTTTGCAGCATTGCAGACTTCTAGATTTAAATTGATGTCAATGATTGTCTGTACTAGGAGCCAGGAACTCCATCTGGGTCTCCCAGCCGGGTGGGTAAGAGTCCAAGTACTTGGACCATCTTCTGCTACGTTCCAGCCACATTAGCAGGGAGCTGGATTGGAAGTGTAGCAGTTGGGACTCAAACTGGTGCCCCTGAGGGATGCTGGCACTGCAGGCAGAGGCTTAATCCATTATAGTACAATGCTGATCCCTTAAATTAATAGCCACAGTGCCAGCCATTGTTATTAACTAGGTTAAGCTTTTGTCTGCAGCTGTTCTTTCAATCTAGCTCCCTGCTGATTTGCCCTGGAAGGCAACAGAAGATGGCCCCTACCACTTATTTGGGATGAAGCTCCTGGCTGTTCCAGCCATTTGGGAAGGGAACCAGTGGATGGAAGATTTCTGCCTCTTCCTCTGCCATTCAAATAAATCTCTTAAAAATTTCTTCAGCTACCCCAGTCACATTCCTTGTGCTTAGTAGCTGCATCTGGTTAGTGATTACCATATTGGATAAGGCAGCTTAAGAACATTTTTATCAATGCATAAAAGTCTCTTGGACATTACTGCTCTGGAGAGACTTGCAGGAACGATTAAATACTGCAGCTCAGAAATGACAGAAGTCACTTCCATTCATAACTCACTGGGCCAGAAATACTTATTTGGTACCACCTACCCAGGTCAGAAGTGTAATTGTGGTCTGTGTCTAGAAGATGGCAAACTAGTAACTCCCCTAATGGTAGAACCTTTCTGGAGGACAGCTTTGAAATCTGTGTTTTTGTTTACTTTTATTTATTTGAAAGGCAGAATCTCCCAAATGCTTGCAATACCAGTGTAGTTCCAGGCCACAGGCAGGTGCTCCAGCCACATGGCTGAGAGAGACCTACCCGCTACTCCCTTGCGGTGTGTGCGTTTACAGGAGGAAGCTGGAATTAGGAGCACAGCCAGTACTTGAACAGCACAGGAACGCAGATCTGGGACAGAAGGGTCCCAGCAGCATCTGTAACTGCCACTTCAAAAGGGCAAGTATACTATTGGAAAGGCTCTGCCCTCTGGCCTTCCCAAGAATTTATTTCTGTGAAATAACAGGGTGGCCTAGGCATGAAAAAAATGTTACTATTTCATCTCAATAAAATCCCATATACTCTTAAGTCACAGTGCATAACTAGGAAATATTTTTTCTATAATATTTTCTATAATAGTCTATTAATGGACTGTTATAGACTAGGGATAGAAGACTTGAAACCCATATGACTGAAGCCAAAGCAATAATAATCTGAAAAATACTAACACATTAAGTCTTCTCTGCTACCCAGCATAAAACCGATAAGCCCCAGGCTTGTTTTCTTATAGGTATGTGTAAGGTTAATTTTCAGGCAGTAACATTTCATCAAGATGAAAATTTTGATGTGGATTTTTCAGTAAAACATTTGTGTAAGGAAAATGTCTCCGCAGTGCCTGTGCTTGCATTCAGATAGTTTACTGTTGTCAGCGTGACAGCCCTTCAGCTATTAAAGCCAGACAGTAATGACCAAGGCTTTCTGTTTGTGAGAAAAATTGTTGCTGATTGCTTCAAATGTAATCATATAGTAGAGAAGATGTTTGGTTTTTTCTTTTTTACTAATTGTGACTGAAGTAATGAGTGTTGCAAAAATGTGATAGAACTAGAACTAGAATTACTCATCAATAAGAGGTAGTGTCATTTATCACTAGCACATAAAACTCCATGAAAGCATCTAAGCATATTGAGATGAAGATAAAATAGCACTTATAAGTGTGGATTTATATACCCATAAAAAAATGGAAAAACTACAATGAAATCTTTCAAGCTTTATTTGTAAGTTTTTATCTAATTTTTGATTTTTCACATGCAACACCCAAAATATGTATAGGTGTCCTGTGAAGAGCCAAATCTTAACTTCCACACATTATCTTAAGATTTATTAGCTTGCTTGCTTACAGATAGTAATACTAAATCCATGTCAGGCCCTGGGCTTAGTGAATATAGAGGAGGCGGATGGACACAATCCCGGCCTTGTGACAGATAGCATCGAAGAATGGGACATAATGTTCAGGCTGAGAACTGAAGGAAAAGTAGGAGCTCTAATTTTTATCATTTTCCAAATTGGGATAGTGTTTAAATTTGAATTCTCTGAATAGTAAAGGACAATAAAATACAAATTGATTTGTTTTTTTTTTTTTTTGTTTTTTTTTTTTTATTGTTGCTTACATTGTATTATGTAGTACAGTTTTATAGGCGCTGGGGATTCCCTCCACCCCTCCCATACCCCTCCCCCCATGGTGGATTCCTCCACCTTGTTGCATAACCATAGTTCAAGTTCAGTTGAGTACAAATTGATTTGTATCAACAAAAATTAAAAAAAAATTGATTTCATAAATCTTACCAGAAACCACCCATGTTCATAGACAATAAATCAGTAACATTTGGTAAGCTTACTTCCATTCTGCTGAATTACTCATCATAAACTGGAGCAATATAAGTTGGTTAACAGATTGTGGGTGGTTAGTCTCAGATTAGTGCTATTAGAGCCTCAGAGTTCTAGAAAATTTTCAGTCTAGTGAATCTCTTTGGACAAGTCTTCTCGCTTATTCTGTTACCAGAATAAGTGAAATTAGTTACTGCATTTCAATATATTAGCAGTAATAACTGGAAAATGAAAATGTTAAAAATCCCATTTATAAGTGGTAAAACTCCCACATATCTAAGAATAAGGTATCACTGAGAGAATAGGATGTAATAAATGGGAAAATATATTATGATGTGTGGATTGGAAGAATCAGTACTATTACTATTGTTACAATTCTGAAATTGATCTGGAGAGTCAGTCTAATCCCTAACAGGGTACTAACTGGATTTTTTTCATTGAAACTGACACAGCGGCCTATGAGGCAACTGGAGGTGAGTAGACCTGGCCATTCTGGGCAGTGGTTCAGGAATGACCCTTCCTTTTCCAGTTTAGCAATCATGGAAGAAGACAAATGACACCTCTTGTAGCAAAATGACAGCTTAGTTCACTAAATTAAGAAACTTGACAGGGTGTGAAGTAGTCTTCTTAAAGGTCAAATTAGCTGGCAATTCTTTGCATTCACACAGGGCAGTCTGGTTTCTAAGTATGTATTCTTGATATCTACATACTTTATATTTCTGCCACTTGATAAAAAAGAATTTTATCTCCAGATCCTTCCCAACTGACTGGCTTTTTCAGTATTTACCAAATTTTTAAGGAAAAATGTAATTCTGAATTATGAGATTGAATATTGTGATGATTGCTAGTAACATTAACCTGTGAACAATCTGTTTAAGTCATTTGCACATTTTTCTTTTTATTTTTCTAAAGATTCTATTTTTGTTGGAAAAGCAGATTTACAGAGAGGAGAGACAGAGATCCATTCGCTGGTTCACTCCCCAAATGGCTGCCAAAGCTGGGCTATCTTCCATTTGCTTCCCAGGCTACAAGCAGGGAGCTGAATGGGAGGTGGTTCAGCCAGGATATGAACTGGTGCTCATATGGGATCTAGGTGTGTGCAAGGATTTAGCCACTGAGCCCTCAGGCCGGGTCCTCAGTTTTCTTTAGTTGCCTGCCAGTTCTTCAGTGTTTTTATTGCCTTCTTTCATGACCATTTTTACTTGTATCTTTGTTTCAGTGGCTGACCCCGAGGCCTGTTACATTGGCACTGAGCCATGGAAACCCAAGGAGGCTTTGGAAGAAAATGGTATTATTACTGACAAGGCAGACATATTTGCCTTTGGTCTTACTCTATGGGAAATGATGACTCTATCTATTCCACACATTAATCTTCCAGATGATGATGATGATGATGATGATGAAGGTATGAGTACAATTTAAAATAAATCACAATCTCTTCACACTAAAGATTAGCTTATACAATCAAATCCTTCCATAAAGTTAAAATTTTAAAGGGCAAGTTAATTAAGTGCCATAGTTTATTTTTCCCCAAAGATTTATTTTGAGTGGACAGGCAGATTTACAGAGGAGACATCCACTGGTTCACTCCCCAGATGGTCGAAATGGCCTGAGCTGAGCCTATTGAAAGCCAAAAGCCAGGAGCTTCTTCCTTGTGTTCCATACCAGGGCAGGGTTTACTGCTTTCCCAGGCCACAGGCAGGGAGCTGGATGGGAAGTGGAGGAGCCAGGACATGAACTGGCACCTATATGGGATGCCGGCATTTGCAAGGCAAGGATTTAGCCAGTAAGCTATCACACCAGGCACAGTGCCACAGCTTCTAGATTGTACCAATACTGATGACAAATTTGGTACCATCTAGTTTAATCTCCCACAAATGAGATGTAAATTGACTTTAAAAAATTCCAGTTTTCAGCAAGTTATCCTAACCAAAAAAAATATCTCAACCTGAGAAAAAAGCATTGAAGAGTCAGATGCGGGCCCGGCGCGGTGGCGCAAGTGGTTAAAGGTCCTCGCCTTGCACCCCCGGGATCCCATGTGGGCGCCGGTTCTAGTCCCGGCGGCCCCGCTTCCCTTCCAGCTCCCTGCTTGTGGCCTGGGAAAGCAGTCGAGGACGGCCCAAAGCTTTGGGAACCTGCACCCGCGTGGGAGACCCGGAAGAGGCTCCTGGCTTCGGATCGGCATGGTATCGGCCCGTTGCGCTCACTTGGGGAGTGAGTCATCGGACGGAAGATCTTCCTCTCTGTCTCTCCTCTCTGTATATCCGCCTTTCCAATGAAAAAAATAATAAAAATAAATCTTTAAAAAAAAAAAAAAAGAGTCAGATGCAGGGTAAGTAGTTGATAATCCATAAATTTAAAATAGTAGTGCATTCAATAACAGGTCAGTGGCTGTGGTATAGTGGAAAGCATTCTGGATGATAAATTCTTACCTCAATCGGGTGAATAATTAAGCTTTTCTGTGACAATAATTGTTTTTCAAACAGATAAAACTTTTGACGAGAGCGACTTTGATGATGAGGCATACTATGCAGCTCTGGGAACCAGGCCACCTATTAATATGGAAGAATTGGATGACTCGTACCAGAAAGTCATTGAGCTTTTTTCTGTATGCACTAATGAAGACCCTAAAGATCGTCCTTCTGCTGCACACATTGTTGAAGCATTGGAATTAGATATCTAGTGATGACCTCATTTTCATGACCTTGGCATGTAGCTTGGTTTGTGTACATAATTCTTTATTTGATCTTTTTATACTTTGATGTTATTAGACTATGAAAGGAGGCTGTTTGAGGACCATAACACTTTAAAAATTGGACAACTATTTCAAATATGTCTTGTATAAATAAGTGTTCTTTAGAGTTCAGCTCTGTACTTTAACACTGTTCATAAGGACTTAAAATCCTAGTAGTAAATACTATAAACTGCATGTGAATTTCAACTGAGTAACCATTACTTTTGTTAGAGCTTTCTAAAAATATTCTTTTAATGGAACTATGAAAATGAGCACTTTTATACAATACGAAATGCTTGTATTTTAAAACTGGAAACTGTATGCTGATCCAAGGCCATCTTAATGTACATACTTTACTTAAGCTAATATACTTATTAGCTTTACTTAAGCTACATACTTTACTTAAGCTAATATACTTATTGAACTGTCACGGGAACCTTAACTCATTGGATATCTAGGACAGCTTATACAATCCTGTATCTTCCCAGATCTTTAGTTTTAATTTATTAAGTGTATTTTCTGCACTGAAGTTCCTTTTAGATTTTGTTACTAATGTATATCCTAAGCATTTTACAGCTGTGGTATAAAAAGAAAAACTTAAAGGGGATGATCTACAATAAATGACCTTTTTGGCACCAAGCGGCATCTTGACATTACTTTATACACCAGTTGAGTGTGTCATTGAACTTCCGTGAATGTGTGTACCTTTCTTTCCTTCTTCTGGCCTTGTTTATCTGTAAAATGAGGTCGATTTAGATCAGCTGTTTCTGTGAGACACAGTCCCCTGGGAATTTAAAAACTAGGATTACAAGTTTGAATGGAAGTGGCATGCCCAGATGTGGCTGTAGACAAATTTTTATCTTTAATTTTTGTAGACAAAATTTGTAAAGTTATTGTGACTTGGCAGTTCATGGAATAGCAGCCACTCACTGCATTCTGGAACTGTAGAAAATTCTGGTATTCACTGAAATGTTCCTTTCAATAAGACTGTTCCAGGCAGTGATTACATAAACACTAACTAGCATATCTTCCTTTAAAATGATAAAGTGACAAAGTAAACTAAAAGTTGGCTTAAATTAGATAACTCTTATGTATTTTACACTTGTATAGTAAATAAGGTCCATTATCGTCACTGACTTACATATTGTGTCACTAGGTTTGCAAGGCTAACGAAGAAGCTTCTCCCAGCCCATTCTTTGCCTAGCAAGGCTAATTACTGCTTTTCCCAAGACAAGTGGCCATCCCTCTTCACTTCCTTCCCTGGCCCAGGTAGCAGCTTAACCCATCTTGTCACAATTCCAGACATAAGAAAACATTTTATTCTTCAATTTGCTTTTAAGACTCAAATGTTACCTTTTTTGGCAATTCTACCTTATTCTCAACAGAACAGGTTGGATACAGCAGTCTGTATTTTTGTAAATCAAAATAGGCATTCCTTGGGTAGCTTTCCATTTTCCCAAAAACAACTTTTGCATTTACTAATAGTGTAGTCTGTTTACACCTTTAGAATATTTGGCAGCTTGCATAAGCATTGGTAAGGATTATTACTATCTTTCTCCTGGTACTTAATCTACAATTTGTTGATGTATTAGGAAAAACTAGAAAACCAGTGAACTGCTAATTTGGGGAAAAACAAAAAATAAGTCTCCCATCTTAAATTACTAATAATAAAATACCATAAGTGGGGGTTCATAAACAGATGCTCATCAAAATTCTAGAGACTGAAGTTGAACATCAAGGTGGTGAATAAGGGCCTGCTTCTTCGTAGGACAGCGCCTTTAGCTGTCCTCACATGGTAGAGAAAGGTCAGTGAGCTCCCTGAAGGCTCCATATGATGGGCATTCCTTCCATTCGTGAAAGTCCATTAGGAACTAGAGACTAAAGAAGGAACTTCCTTGTTACAAGAAAGGTTATTTCTTTACAAAGGAGCTTTAATAAACCTATTCAATAGTGAATTATGGTTATTCCTGTGAGATCTAGAAAGAAAGATGCCTAATAGCATTACTTTTTTTCAATAATGTGCTGGATATCCAAGAGAATGGAATTCTAAGATTAAATGAAAGCCATCACATTTTAAAAGTATAGCTAATTGCATAGGCAGACATCAAAGATTCTGTAGATGATTAGAAAAGTCAGTTTGTCAACTCTTCCTGTGTTAGCACTGAAACTTCTTTGACTGGCTTCTGTGTTCCTTTTTCATGCTCCCAATTACTGGATTTCATGGTTAAAGCCTTTTTAAAAAATTTTCTAGTAATACAAATTGTTATCAGCTCATCAGTACAATGATGAGCATTTTTCCAAGAATAAAACCAAATTTTTTTTTTTTAAAGAAACTAAAGTCTTGAGTTCTAGGCATGTTCAATGATATTAAGGTATTATTGCCTTGAAGTCCTCTCAGTGTATTTCTTTTTTGTTATACTATGTACAGTAAATTATGTAAGTAAAGTAGAAATGGGTCTCTTGAAATCAACACTGAAGTGAAGCAACTGAAAAATTGCACTTAGTGTAAATATGCACCACACACCAAGCAGGATTGTAGGGCGGTTTTTAATCATATTTGAATTTTTTTCCAAAGGGCATATATAATTTTTATGACAGTAACCAAGGCATTCATTTGTATAAAGTAGAATGCTAAGAATTTTAATTCATCTCAAAAACACTGAGCAAACAATTTAGAACAGCAGCAGTAAAGAAAATAGCATTAAAAGGTTCACAAAACTGAACATTGTTGATATTTCCACATTTCATTTTTCAAACTAAGCCTTGTAATCAAGTTAACTTGAAAATAAACAAGTAAACAACTTCTACAGTTATAACCTTGAAAACTACAGTCCTGCCAAATAGCAATTTTTAAACTCAGTTTTATAGAAACAATTTGATGGTTTTTTTGCTTTCAAAGTGTAAGAATCCTACTACACAAATGTGTACATTTAGGCGTGCAATATTTATATAACTGATGTTCTTGTGGAAATATATGCTAGCCTTGGTTCTGTTATACATTTTATAAAAACATTACTTTGTCAGATGTCTCAGAACAAGTGCATTTTAACCAGAAAAAAAAAATGAATCATCTAGCCTATCCATTTCTTTTTAATGAACTCAAAAACCAATGTTTCTTAAACAGTATCTTTTGCACAATAAAAATGACAATAGTGCAATTACTAAGTGTAATTAAACTTGAAGACAACTGTGCATTTAATGTTTGAAAATATTAAAATGTCAAGCTATAAAATCAAACTCTTATTTTTCATACATAGACATAAGATCTTCCATCCACTGGTTTGCTCAACGAGGCCACACGGCCAGAGCTGAGTCATCTGAAGCCAGGAACTTCTTCCAGGTCTCCCAAATGAATACAGGGTCCTCTACAGCTTTGCAAGGCCACAAGCAGGATGGGAAGTGGAGTAGCACCCATACAGGATGATCCCAGCACTTGAAGGGGGAAGATAAGCCAATTGAGCCATCGCTCTGGGCCGTCAAACACTTTCTAAATAAATTTAACCTGAGTTGATAAATATGGGTGCTTAAAAAGTGAAAACTATGTGAAGAATTCAGGAAATTACCTTTAAAGATCAAGCAATTATTTGCCTTGAGTTTAAGTCTGCCTCCTTGAGGCAGCAGTTTTGCTTCCATGGAAAACCATACATAGTTTCAAAGGTGACTCAGAATGCTGGGACATTATCCAAGTAAATTTCCTTCCTTTGCATCACCAGATATTATTCAGCAAATTTACCTGACTTTCAACTCATAAGCAGTAAAACTGAACTCTGCATGAATAAGTCTTGGTCTTTTTGATAGTTTTTATTAAATAGGTTAAATAGTTCATCTTATATTAGGGACTATCTGAACTTACATGTAAACTTTTATGTTTGAAATTGGCATTAACTATTAAAGTTGTATACAAGGAAATTTGGGGTGTTGCAGTACTTGGTTGCAAATAGTTTGCCATCTGGTGTTGGGTCAGAAAATGCTATTTCATCAGTGCTCAGAAAACAGCCAAACATAAAGCAATTCCTTTAAAAAAAAAAAAAAGGAAAAAGTGACTCAATATTGTTTAAACATAAATATATTTTACATAGATACTCTTGGTTAAAATCAAGATTATTTCTAATTGATAAAATTGGCTTAGATTTTACAGACTGAAAGCCTCATGTTATTTCATGCACTAAAATAAATAAATGGAGACACTGAAAATAATCTGAAAGACAAAGGGAAAATATTCTGAAAGACAAAAGGAACCTCCAGCCGATTCTGTGGCAACTAGAAACCATTGAGATGATTCTGCTAAATAAAAGCCACAGTTATTTAAACCAATAACCAAAAAAAAAAAAAAAAAAAAACCACCCCCACCATTTTAACCAATTACATTTTTTCAACTCAAGGATATGTTTGAAAGCTTCAAGGCAAAAGTCTGGTATATTTTGACTACTACACTCTTGATTCTGCTGAATCCGGATTAAAATTATAAAATGGTTAGAATTTAAAAATTTAGGAATACTCTACAAAAGAACCTGTCTGTACTCTTCAAATTCTTTAATCTCATAAAAGACCAGTCAAGATATGAGCATTAAATGCCATATGTGGTCCTCAACAAGGAAAAAAACTGCTGAAGGACATTTTAAGATAATTGCTGAAAGAAAAATATTAATTACATAAAGCAGGATTAAGTAGTTTAAAAAAAAATAGCATTAGCAATAGAAAAAGTATGAAACCTGTGTTTTGTGATCTAACTTGCCCTTTCACAATTTCAGCATATATAATCTCACTGCTTCCTGTGTAAAGACTGGAAATACTGTCCCTAGTGTGCTGAAGACTCCCATTCATGTCACCTACATAGACAGGCAGAATTCAGCCCAGGACAGGATGGCTGGCAGTTACTGTGTCCTCCCCTTTGGGTCAGGAGGCAAGACAGATTCTGGGAAACTGAGGGAACCTAAGCTTTTAGGTCTGAATCCATTTATTTTCTTACCTGACAGTATCTACCAGTCGTCTTGCAATGCGCTTTCTTCTTTTCAGTCTAAAAACCCAGATTCTACTGATCCCACAGACAGCAGGTTGCGGCACATCTGAACATTGCCATGCCCTGTGACACTCCTGAGAGCTGGAGGAGTCTGGGTGAGCTGGCTCAGAGAGCACCCGGAAGGCCTGCAGTGACACACAAAAGCATCTACATCTAAACATGGATGAGTGCACACTTCTTTACACAAACTATCCCTAAACATAAGTCACCACTATACCCCTAACACAGACATCAAAATTCTTTTGATATTTCTCAAATTTGTTTCAATTTATGTAATTATAGAATACTTGAAAAAATCTTTTATGCCAATATCACATACCATTATGAAATTTCCTTTTTATTAAAAAGTTGGAGAGGAATAGCACTGTGGTATAGTGGGTGAAGCTGCTGCCTGTGATGCTGGTATGCCATATACATGCTGTTTGGAGAACTGGCTGCTCAACTTTTAATCCAGCTACTTACTAATGTGCTTGGGAAAGCAGTGAAAGATGGCCTAATTGTTTGGGCCCTGTACCTACATGAAAGACCTGGAAGAAGCTTCAGGCTTCTGGCTTTGGCCTGGCACAACACAAGCCATTGTGACCTTTTTGGGAGTGAACCGGGATGAAAGATCTTTGTCTCTGCCTTTCAAGTAAATAAAAAATCTTAAAAATTTTAAAACTTGGTGAAAATACGTTTTTCTAAAAACTACATAAGCTCCCTCAATCTCCATCCTATATTTACATGATAGCCTTAAAAACTGATAACACTACAGGAGAATCAAGATGGCAGAATAGGACACGTTTAAATCGATGGAGAAACATTAGCCAGGGTGAAGCAGAGAGGGCACATTCCAGGAAACAGGAGAGGACAGACCAACGGCAAATGAGGACCTGCAAACTGACAGACACGAGAAAACAGCAGAGACAATGGAGTGGTGTTGCACCAGATGTTCCAGCAGCGTTCAGCCCGAGCAGTGATCTGAACTCCACTGGCGGCTAGAACTCAACCAGCAAGCAGATGGGAAGGGGAGTCCACTGGGAAGGTCAGGAGGCAAAACGACAAATATAACAGGATTAAATGGCTTAAATTATCCTATGGTTAAGGATGTATTAACATGAAAAAAGTTACTAATGTTTATTGTGACTTTTCCCAATTATTTTGCTCATCAGTAATGCAAATAATTTAAAAAGCATATACTATACCTGCTTGATGGGCTCTGCAATTAAACACCCAACTACTTTTTTTTCATCAGATATAAAGAGAAAAGTTTTCACTTTGTTTGAACACTTGGGAACAACATGTTGGAAGCCCAATTCACAATCAACAAGTTCTTGGACATCTTCTACCTAATGATGTTAAAAAAAAAAAAAGAAGCAAATTGTTTTAAAAAGCAGAACAGAAACTACATATATTTATCTGTACAAACCATATGCTTATAATTTTAGCCTATTTTATCTCTACTCTTAAATTTACCTACTCCCAACTTATTTTACTTGTGACACATCAGATAGTTTGCAAATAGTCTAAAGAATCTGTTTTAAAGATCACATAGAGCAGGAAGACATTCAGACTTCTGGAGGAGAGAAGCAGCAAGCAGTTCACAAAGACTTAAGTTTTACTCATTGTTCATACTGGCTGAACTTATTTAAAACATTTTATTTTATTTGTTTGAAAGGTAAAGTTACAGAGGAGAGACAGAGAGAAATCTTCCATCCATTGGTTCACTCGCCACTGGCAGCAGTGGCCAGGGTTGGGCCATACTGAGGCTAGGAGCTTCTTTAGGGTCTCCCCCATGAGTGTCGGGACCCAAGGACTTGGTTCATCCCCTGCTGTTTTGCTAAGTGCATCAGCAGGTTGCTGAACCAAAGTGGTCCAGCCAAGGCTTGAACTGGTGCCCATACTGGATGCCGGAATTCAGGAAGCAGCTTAATCCACTGTATTACAATGCCAGCCTCATGACTACAAGTTCTAACTCAAGATACACAGCAAAGGGGCTGGAGCTGCTGTGAAGCAGGTTAAACCACTGTCTGGGATGCCTAAGAATGACATGTGGGAGACTGGAATTCTAGGTTCTGGCTTTGGCCTGGCCCAGCCCCAGTTGTTTGAGCAATGAACCAATAGATGGAAGATGTCTCTAACTCTGCCTTTCCGGTAAATAAGCAAAAGAAGAAAGACAAAGACACAGAAACACAGTTAACACAAGAAACAGATCCTGAGCTTAATTTCATTCCACTGAAAAGCTTAGAGAAAGATGAAGGGAATGGACTTTACCTGCTTTCTTTCATTTCCAACAAATACAGTTTTGTTTTGTAACTCTAAGTCTAATTTTGTATGAGCAGCTTGAAAGTCATTCCTAGCACCTAACAAAGTGGATTATATATCAACAAGGCAGGTTATACTTCAGCACTTAAGACTTCTTCTGAGTATAAGAACATTAACAATTAAAGAGATAATGTTATGTACCTTTTTGACAGCATAACTTGGATCATGAGGCAGAACCAACACAATCTTGCCATCCCAAAACTCTGCTACTATGCGTTCTTTTTTCCAGCCCTGCCAAAGGAATTTTAAAAAGTGTATTTTTGATAAAACAAGAATATATAATGTAATCTGAAAAACAGTCTAAACAGTGATAAGAAATTACAGAATCAAACGCAACCTAAATCAATAAGGGGAATAACAGCTGCAGAGCCAGCAGCAGCACTGAGCTCCAGAAGCTGATTTTAGATGAAGAAACTTTAATTTTTAGATTTCCATCCAAGTGTTTTCTACCCCAATGCCTCTCAGTGTATGGAAAATAACAGAGGTATGCATGGTCTTTCTTCTGTACCCATTTATTGCCTACACATTCCTCCTCATTAATTCTATACTATTTTAAAGTAGTCTATCCCCCAGTGTGATAGTGTAAAACATTTGGTCTTTGTCTCTCTTTCATGGCAAACCTAATAACCTTGGAACCTCCTAAGTGATAGCTGTCTTTTCGTGCCTACTTCGGCAGCACATACGCTATAATCTGAACAATAACTGTCTTTTTATCCCAATAAAATATCAATGACTAGTCTGGCCTAGGTAGCTCTAGCATGGGGGCTGATTATAGGAAAGACCAAGTGAGAATCAGAGGCTTGGAACTTTCAGCCCCTCCTCCAACCTTGGGGGCTGAAAGAAACCCTCTTTCCCCCTAAACAAGTTTATTAACAACACTTAATGATTTAGTCAATCACAACAATGCAATGAAATCTCCCTTATTGTTTATAACCCTTTTCTATACCACTGAGGAACAGTGCTTTTTCTAATTTAGAGAAATAAATCTTGTGATCGACACTGGCATTCTAACTTAAAAAAAAATCAGAAATCACAAATTATGTAAAAATTTTTATTTTAATACTCTGTGAGGCGATATATATATATATATATATATATATATATATATATATAAATAATGGTTTTACACTCAAGTAACAGGGGCTGGCCATGGTGTAGCATACTAAGGCTCCACCTGCATCACCCAATTTGCGTCACTGCTGCTCCACCTTGGATCTAACACCCTACTAATGCACTTTGGAAGGCAGTGGAGGAGAGTCCAAATGCTTGGGGCCTTGCACCCACATAGGATACCAGGAAGAAGCTCCTGACTCCTGGCTTCAGATTGGCTCAGCTCTGGCCGTTGTGGCTATTTGCAGAGCGAACCAGTGGGTGAAAGATCTTTCTGTCTCTTCTCTCTATAAATCTGACCTGCCTTTCCAGTAAAAATAAATCTTTAAAACTAAAGAGCAAACTGGCTAGTCAGATTGTAAGGCATTTATTCAAAATAGGACAATACATAATACTTACATTAGACAGGTAACTTTGAAACAGCATTATAACTTTTTACTAATCTCAGCCTCAAAGTTTAAGGAAAACTCCAAATGATACAATATTTATATGTATTTAGATGCTACTAATATTTAATCAAAAGGTCTCTTTTAAGGCAGCTTTTAGAGAAAATTGAAAGACTATCTTGACTCACTGTATATTTGATTCCTTCCAGAAACCTGTGGTGATACTGAGTGTGCTGCATCTCATCCTCAGGGCTGGAAGCAGAGTAGATCATGCCACATGACTTACACATGGTGGCTCCAAAATGTTTCTGACCTGCATCCTGCAATTATAAAACACCCATCAAATATTTACGTGTCACATGAAGATCTAAATTAAGTTCCTGTATTCATTCATTCAATTCTTCCTATTCTTCTTTCATACTGACACAAGCGAAATACTAGATGAGGATTTTCTTCCCTCCTTCCCTCCCCAACATGAGATGGAAAGAGAAAGATACCTAGATATGCAATGAGTTGCCAACAGTATTACAACTGTGTTTGAATGGACAGAGCTAAAAACAAATTTCTTATTAGACCCATAGTTTTAGCAATAAATAATTTAAATCACAAGATTGCATGAAAATGAAGAGTAATATCTCTTCACAAATCTCTTTATAGACCTAAAAGAGCTGTATGTCAAACTGGTACAAAAATGCCAGGACTTCTGATTTAAATAGGGGCTTTTCCTTAAGTGCCCAGGAGTGTTAAATTCTTTGTCCCAAGGCCCAAGGTCCTCGCCTTGCATGCACTGGGATTCCATATGGTCGCCAGTTCTAATCCTGGCAGCTCCACTTCCCAACCAGCTCCCTGCTTGTGGCCTGGGAAAGCAGTCAAGGACGGCCCAAAGCTTTGGGACCCTGCACCCACACAGGAGACCAGAAGAAGCTCCTGGTTCCTGGCTTCAGATTGGCGCAGCACTGGCCGTTGCGCTCACTTAGGGAGGGAATCATTGGACGAAAGATCTTCCTGTCTCTTCTCCTCTGTATATCTGCCTTTCCAATAAAAAAAAATAAATAAATCTTTAAAAAAAATTATTTATCCCAAGAGTTGTTGCTAATGCAGAGGCTAATGTTTTCTTTTAAAGGACCAGAGAGATGCTGTCCTTGCAACAAAAGAGTGTTACAGAATTCAGAAGAATACCTATTACCTAGGTCAACTCTAGGTATGTTTAACTACCTATCCAACATGTTAGAGCCATGTACAGGAAAGAGCTTTGTATTAAATTTACTCACAATGACGAGCTGGTCTTTTGTTTCTTTATTTGCATCTCTGGTATTAATGTTTTTCTGTGTCAGTTTCAAGAAGTTAGTACATGTGATGGATTCCACAGAAGACTCTTTCTCAGACACAGATCTTGAAATAAAAGTTAATAAACTTAGAATGTTTCTAATTTTTAAAATGTTGGAAGAATGCATATATAATATTTACAGTGTACCCTGCAATTATTAAGAAATAGTTATTATTAGAGATAAAGTACTTCCAGTTGCTGGTTTACTCCCTAAATGTCTACAACAGCCAGAGCTAAGCAGGGCTGAAGCTGGGAGCCAGAAATTAATCCAGGTCTCCAGTGCGGATGGCAAGAACCCAACTACTTGAGTCAGTGCTGTTTCTTAAGGACATTGTAGGAAGTCACTCAGGAGCTAGAGCTGTATACTGAGCACTCTAATATGGCATCCTGATTGAGTCTTCCTTTTGGGCCCAATGCCCATCCTGTCATGCATTTTTTTGTGTTTTTATCCAACAATAACTTGTTGAATAGAGAAAACAATGAGAAACCTGAAAAGAGAGGATTAGAAATTTACTCAAGATGAAGTAACTTAGTGAATGGCAATGTTAACATTAAAATCTTGATCTTCTAACTCTAAATCTTAAATAGTTTTCTGTTTCTTCAACAATGTATTAGAGCCAAAAACACATTCCTTTGAAATGGGCTGTGCATTCTCCAGTTGGTCCCAGTCTTCACCCAGCCCAGCTGGCTCTGTAGTCACAGAAGTTGTGATCTTGCAGCTGGTGCCATAGCACAGCATGTAGAGCCACCTGCAGTGCCAGCATCTCACATGCATAAGTGCAAGTGGCTCCCTGCAAATGACCCAAGGCAACAGCTGAAGATGGCACTAGAGCTTTGGGCACTGTTCCCATGTGGGAGAGCCTAAGAGGTTCCTGGCTTCTGACTCTGGGCTTTGGACCAACCCAGCTCTGCCACTGCAGCTGTTTGGGGAGTGAACCAGTAGATGGAAAATCTGCCCACCTCTCCATCTCTGCCTTTGAAAAAAAAATAAATCTAAAAAAAAAATTAATGAAAGAAATTTGATTTCTCAAGAGCCAAAGGAGTTTAAATCCCTAGAGTAAAAATTAAATAGACATGGGAAAAAAACAAGATAACCCAAACTGAAGTACAGACTACACAAGAAAAAGTACCAAGAATAAAGCTGACCAAAAACTACCCAGTGTTTGTGTCTGTGTTGTGGTACAGCAATCTAAACCTCCACCTGTGGCACCAGCATCCCATATGGGTGTCAGTATGTGTCCCAGGTGCTCCACTGCCAATCCAGCTTCCTGTTAACAGTTGGAAAAGCAGCATAGAATGGCCCAGATTCTTGGGCCCCTGCACCCTTGTGGGGGACCCAGAAGATGATCCTGGGTTCAAATTAGCTCAGCTCTGACTCAAGTGGCACTAGGGGGAGCGAACCAGTAGATAGAAGATGTGGCTCTCCTCTCCAACTCTGCCTTAAAAAAATTATTCAAAGTTTTAACATTTTCATTTATCTGAGAAAGTGCCTTTCAACCTTATTTGACAAACTCTGATAAAAAAATTCCTAGTAGACACTCTTACAAGTTTAACTAGATCCAACATTTCACAATTGATATTTGCTATGTGAGATGAAGTATCCTATTAAAATGCAATGAATATAACTGATATCCTTAAAACTGAATGACAAACTGCTATCAGGCTGCTGCTCTAAGATGAAGAACACTTGTCTAGGACACTGGCCCTTTCTGCCCTTATTAAGTCTAAGTAACTCTGCTCCCCTGACCTGCAGGCTGGTCTACAATCTCTTCATTCCCATCTCAGCAATTTGACATGTCAGCACATTCAGTGGTTTGAGTATCTGTCCTTCCATCATAACATCCTTGATAGCAAGACATGTTATATATCTTCAGATTTTTAGAATTTAGTTCAATAGCACATAGCAACTCTCTAAAACTACAACCAAATTAATTAAAGACAAAAAGAGGCCAGTGCTAGGGCCCAGCAAGTTAAGCTGCTGCTTGCAATGCTGGTATCACATATGTGAGTGCCAGCTGGAGTTGGTTGCTCAGTTTCCAATCCAATTTTTTGCTGATGCATCTAGGAGGCAATGCAGGATGACCCAAATACCTGGGCCCCTACCACTCATATGGAAGACCAGGACTGAGTTCCAGGCTTCTGTGTTTGGCTTGGCCCAAACCTGCCTGTTGCAGGCACTTGGTCACTGAATCAGTGAATAGATTAATCCCTCCCCCCAGCTCTGCCCTCTGTTGTTTTGCCTTTCAAATAAACATGAAGTCTTAAAAAAACAAAATCGGTCCAGAGGTCACCACAATGGGAAAGCATACTAATCCTCCACTTGTGCTGGCATCCTATAAGGGTGCCAGTTTGTGTCCCAGCTGCTCCACTTCCCATCCAGCTCACTGCCTATGACCTGAGAAAATGGAGGATGACCAAAGTCCTTGGACCCTTGCACACATATGGGAGAGCAGGGAGAAATTCCTGGTTCCTGGCCTCAAATTGGCTCAGCTCTGGCTGTTTGTGGCCATATGGGAAGTGAATCAGTGGTTGCAAGACCTCGTTCTGCAAAATCTGTCTTTCAAATAAAAATAAATCTAAAAAAAAAAACAAAAAAAACAAAAACCAGAGTCCAAAACCATGAAAACAAAACAGCAAATGTGAGGCCATGCACCCTGATAGATTACACCATGAAAAACTGCTGATATCTACTGCTTTACAGTTTATACAAATTTTTTTTCCTAGAATTCAGCCAATTGTATTCCAGTACCTCTTTATGCTACATTGAATTAGTCTATACATTTTTACCAGCAAACCTTAGCAGTCTGGAATTCTCAGCAATGAGAAAAAAAATAAAGGTGAGAAAAGGGAAAGGAGAGAAAAAAGCAGGAACATGGCCTATGAAGGCAAAAGTTACCACTCACCTCAATCTGATAAAATTTAAAGTGGGATGTCCTAGTAACAGAAAAATTTACCGAAGGAGTAGCTAGCTTAATACAGAATTCTTTATCACCAAATATGGGGAGAAGACTCAAAACTGCCTAGAAGGAAGATGCTAACACTGTAAGAAACCTTTCCAGAACTCTTCAACCCTTAATGCTCTCTATCCACCCAGCCTTCCCTCCTTCCAATATAGTCTTTAGCTTTGAATACAGGATAGTGATAGCTTCAACTGGGATTTACACAAATGTTAAGCTACTGCAAGTTAGCTTTTCTTTAGGCCAGTTTCCTCTAACTATGAAATGGGACAGTGATGTCTATATTATAAGGTTGTAAATACTCATTAAGTTTTAGCTTATTATTTACATATTATCACCCATGGAAGGGAATACAGCTTAATGGGTTTTGACTGAGATATGGATTCTAGTCCTGGCTGGCACCTGGCAGCTATGGAACTGTGGCTACAGTACCAAGAGTCTTTCAGCTGAAAATGGATATAATAATATTCCAGAATGCAGTGAGGAGTGCATTAAATAATAGGTGTAAACTGTTTTTTATGGGTAAGGTCCTGGTTAATAATATTAACAGTTTTTATGTTTTAATCTTTTTGAAAATGATTTTTAAAATTATTTATTTATAAAAATATATGTACAGAGAGGAGAAACAGAGGAAGATATTTTACCTGTTGCTTTTTTCCTAAATGTTTGCAATGGCTGGAGCTGAGCTGATCCAAAGCCAGAAGCCAGGAGCTTCTTCCAGGTCTCCCATGTGGGTGCAGGGTCCCAAGGCTTTGGGCTATCCTCCACCTCTTCCCAGGCCACGAGCAGGGAGCTGGATTGGGAGGTGGAGCAGCCAGGACATGAACTAGTTCCTAAAAAGGATGTAGGGACTGGCAGGCAGTGAATTAGCCAGTTGAGCCATCATGCTAGCCTCAGCAGTTACTATTTTTAAACCCATCGAAATCATTTTCTGTCTTTGAATCCAGAGCTCTGAAGTTTCTATGGGAGGGACTGATTTTATTTCCTATATTTAACACTTACTCCCATTGCCTTAGTAGGAAAGAGTAGGATGGTCCCCAAACTAAGCAGCACAAAAAGAAAGATGAGGCTGACCTCATAGCATAGCAGAATAAGCCTCTACCACATGGGTGGGTGCTGGTTCAAGCCTGAGTTGCTCCATTTCTGATCCAGCTACCTGGTAATGTGTCTGGGAAATCAGCAGAGGATGGCCCAAGTGCTTGGCTCCCTGTACCCACATGGGAACCCTAGAAGATGCTCCAGGCTCCTGGCTTCAGACCTACCCAGCTCTGACTGTTGCAGCCATCTGGGGAATGAAACAAGGTAGGGAGCTCTTTTTCTCTGTCTCTCCTCCTCACTGTAACTCTGCCTTTCAAATAAAAAGAAATACATTTTTTACAAAGAAGAAAAAGACCCAGAGAATCCATAAGTTAGAAAACCTTGTACATCAAAAAAAACAATTCCTACCTTTTTGCACTGACTGAAGACACATTGAAGATGGGATAGGTAGTCAAATTGGAAGAAACTAGTAAGAGAAAAAAAAATGACAACTATTTGCATTTTCAACCAATTTGACAAAGGGACAAAGGTAATTCAATGCAAAAAAAATAGTTTTCAGCAAATGTTTCTGAACAATTAGATATTCATGTGCAAAATTTTTACACACCAATGCCATTTATAAAAACTAATTTAAAATGGATCATATATCTAAATGTGAAACATAAAATTAGAAAAAAAATCTGAACTTGGATGATTACTTTCTATTACATACAACACTTAGAGCACAATATATAAAGTGGTTAGACAAAGTTAAGGAGTTTTAAAGGAAGCCTATGTTCCATCACCCCCCCCCCCGCCCCAAATGACAAACAAAACAAACAAACAAAAAACTGTTAAAGAAAATGAAGACAAGTCAGACTGGGACCGATTATTGGCAATTATTTATATACAAAGAATTCTTAAGTGACAACCATAGTTTAGTGGTAAATGGGGAATTATGTACAATAACACAGACAAATCTTAAATATAGTTTATTGAATAAAGACAGACCCAAAGTCTGCATAATTTCATTTGCCTAACATTTTTACCAGAAAACAACAGAAACAGAAAGCAGATTAGTGGTTGCCAAGTATACGAAGGAGAGTAGACTACAAAACAGGTACAAGGAGTGTTTAGCATGAAGCAACTGTTCTGTAGTTCTGAAATTTCACCTGATTCTATTCATTTGATAAAAACCCATAAACTATTTATCATACTGAGTAAACTTCAAACTGTGCCCATCTACTTAGACACATATAAAAATGCGTTTAGGCCTTTATCTTTGCAATTTACAGTGATGTGGGTTGTCATGTGCCTTCTAGTACAATATATAACAAAGTTAAGAGCCGATTTGAGAAAAATACACTGAAGGTGAACTTTTATTAAAAGCAAATTTAGGGCCTGGTGCAATAGCCTAGCAGCCTAAAGTCCTTGCCTTGCACATGCCAGGATCCCAGATGGCACCAGTTCTAATCCCAGCATCCCCACTTCCCATCCAGCTCCCTGCTTATGGCCTGAGAAAGCAGTCAAGGACAGTCCAAAGCTTTGGGACCCTGCACCTGTGTGGGAGACCTAGAGGAAGCTCCTGGCTCCTGGCTCCTGCCTCCTGGCTTTGGATCGCCTTAGCTCTGGCTTTCTTCTCAGTCTTTCCTCCACTCTATATATCTGACTTTCCAATAAAAATAAATAAATCTTTAAAAAAAAACAAATTTCAACTTTGAGCTAAAAAATAATTACAGTTCATCCTCTTGCAATAAAACCAAGGCATGTGAAATGGGCAGGCCAATCTAAATTAATTTTTTCTTCCATGAAATGATCCTAACAGAACCTGCTGAATAGGACTGGAAAAAGTAAATGACAAACTGGTTACTGAGCAATAAATTGTCATTGTGTATGCTTTCATTTTTCCACATCCTTGCACCAACTTTGTTACTTTATCTGCTAAATAATCCTTCAATTGACAGACAATATCCTGGAATACATATTTCTTTGAGAGAAATTATTTGAGAGAGATTAGGAGGGTGAAAGGAGGATAAAGGGAGAGAGAGGTTACCACTGGTTTACTCCCTAGATGTCCCTAACAACCAGGCTAGACCAAGCCCCAGGGCAGAAGACAGGAACTCAGTTCTAGTCTTCTACTTGAGTGGCATGGATTCAATTATTTGAGTTCTCATCTGAGGTCTCCCAAGGTGCGCACAAGCAAGAAGCTGGAAATGGGAGCCAGGCAGGGCTTGAAGAAAGGTACTCTGGGACAGAACACGTATGTCCTTGCTGGCATCTTTACTGCTAAACACAACTCCTGCCCCGCAGTGTCATTTTTCTATGGCCTAGCAAGTTCTTAGTTTATGATGTGTCTAATCAATTATAAGTGATTAGAAAGGCATTTCAAAAAGTTTATGGAAAATGGAATTAAAATGGGTTTACTATGAAGTTTTTGGAAAACTCCCAGCTCCCTGCTTGTGGTCTGGGAAAGCCATTGAGGACGGCCCAAAGCCTTGGGACCCTGCCCCCGCATGGGAGACCTGGTGGAGGTTCCAGGCTCCTGGATGGCATAATACCAACCATCGTGGTCACCTGGGGAGTGAATCATCAGACGGAAGATCTTCCTCTGTCTCTTCTTTGCTCTGTATATATCTGGCTAATTTTTATTTCTAGTAAAAATAAATAAATCTTAAAAAAATTATACCTTCTAGACAGCTTTAGTCATAGTCATTACCAATTAAGCACTCTCCTTATTTCATGGGAGCATTCAGCCTAGTTTTTAAGATACTGGATTGGACCTCTATGCTTCATATTGCAGTGTCTGGGTTCATAACTAGCATTGGTTCCTGATGTGAGCTTCCTGCTAACCCAGCCCCTGTTAAGGCAGCAGTGATGGCTCAAGTAATGGAACATCTTAGCTGCGACCTATACTCTCAACTCTGGTTTAACCAGTTCTAACTATTGCAGAAGAGAGTAAAAGCAGATAGGAGTCCTCTCGTCGTCTACTTTCTACCACACAAATAAGGAAAACAGAAAACAAACACTCTCTGTCTTTTGCTTGACAAAATACACTACCCTGCTTTATCACTGAAAACAATGTCACAGAAATGAAGATGAAGATATTAACACAAGTCTCCAACTTTAAAAATATTTATTTTTATTGGAAAGCCAGATGTACAGAAAAAGACATTCCATTCAGAGACCCAGAAAACAGCGTGAATTTTATACTATCACATGGTAAAGAAGCAATAGTTCAAAGAGCTAAACTCTTATAAAAAGTTTTCTCTTACCACATGTCTTGCTCTCACCAAGAGAATCCTCGGAAGGAAAATGCTTACTTTGATCAACTTTACACTCCCTTGAAGAAACTACACCAGCTGATGAATCCTGAAAACAGGTTTAAAAAGGTAAATTGCAATTATTTTTTAAGATGATTTATTTATCTTAATAAGCCCTTGCCTAGAATGCAAGAATTCTTATGGGTGCTGATTCCCGTCTGGGCTAATCCACTTCTGACCCAGCTCCTTGCTTATGGCCTGGGGAAACCACAGAGGATGGCTCACATTTTTAGGCCCCTTGCAACCAGGTTGGAGACCCAGAAGAGGATCCAGGCCAACCTCAGTCACTGTGGCCTTTTGGGGAGTGAACCAGCAGACGGAGGATATCTCTCTCCTTTCTAATTCCACCTTTCAAATAAAAATAAAGTAAACCTTTTAAAAAAGAGGCTTAGACTTTTTAAAAATTCATTTTAATTGGAAAGTCAGTTATACAGAGAGGAGGAGAGACAGAGGAAGATCTTCCATCCAATGATTCACTCCCCAAGTGACCACGATGGTTGGTGCTATGCCATCCAGGAGCCTGGAACCTCCACCAGGTCTCCCATGCGGGGACAGGGTCCCAAGGCTTTGGGCCGTCCTCAATGGCTTTCCCAGACCACAAGCAGGGAGCTGGATGGGAAGTGGAGCTGCTGGGATTAGAACCAGTGCCCCTATGGGATCCTGGTGTGTTTGAAGCAAGGACTTTAGGCGCTAGGCCACTGTGCCAGGCCCAGAGGCTTAGATTTTTAAACTCACATAGGTCAAGTGCAACATTCATGGGCTCAATTTATGAATTTTGAATTTTCAGTGATTTTTGAGAAGTTTGAGTAGGAAAATAATGACATAAGGTTATCTAAACTGGAATATGCTGTTAAATATAAACACGGATTTCAAGAATCTCATACAAAAAGTATGTAAATTATCAATAACTTATTACATTGAAATAGTAATATTCTAAGTCTAGTGGATTAAATTTTTAATTTTTTAAAAGAGTTATTTTTATATGAAAAAGAATGAGGAAATTGGGAGAGAGATCTTCCAACCACTGGTTCACTCCCCAAATGGCCACAATGGCTGGAGCTGGACTGATCAGAAGCCAGGAGCCAGTAACTTCTTTCTGGGTTTCCCAAGTGAGCAAATGGGCTTGAGGACCCGAGCCATCCTTGGTTATTTTCTCAGGCCACAGTGAACAGCATTTAAAGTGGAGCAGGTGGGACACAAACAGTTGCCCATATGGAATGCTGGCACTACAAGCAGAGGATAGGCATGGTATACCACTGTTCTGGCCCCAGAAATGCTATTGCTTTAACACAGATTTTAAATTGCACACTGCTGACACTGCAGCAGGCCGAAGGGTGACCAGCAAGGAGGAACTGACGTTGCTAGCCCTTGCTTCTGCTGCAGCCTTACTTGCACTGCCCGAACCTCCCAGGGGAAAACTGGCATCAGCTGAAAACAAGCAAACGAACAAAAAACACACCATGGGCAGCCAGGTGTAGTCCCTGGCAGTGACCTTCAGCTAATTCCAAGGTTATTATAATCAAATTACCAGGCTGACTCTCCTGAATTCTATCAGATCTGTGCCAGGATTTCCAAATTGGGCAAGGGAACCAGCAATACCCAAGTCCTGTTCAAACACCATTTCATACACCACCCCATCTCAGACACCATATCCATAAATTCCTTCTTGCACTGCAGATAAGAACTTGGACTGAGCCATCCCACCAAACAATTTTATCACACAGTACTAATCTAGGCTGGCTATGTTAATATAAGCGCAATCAAATAAGAAAGCAGAGAATAAAACTGAAAACATAAAAGACAAAACCCCAACAATCTACATAGTGAAAGTACTTCTTTGGTAACATTCACTTTATCTATTCTCTAATACTTCTATCATAATCTACTATAAATGAGCTGTAACATAACAAAAAGTAATGTACTTATACTCTGGAACCACTTCTTAAATTTTGCTATTTCTATTTTTTAAAAATACAGAATTTCAAATAAATGTTAGTAATCTTCTCTGGAGAGGCCCATAGTTTACTCATGGGGGAATTAAATGTTTGCTTTAATGCCAACAAAATGTCAGTACATTTCTTTAAGCCAAGAAAGGAAGAAAAGTTATCTTCATACTCTGATTCTAAATTCTTTATAGTGACTAAATGCTCTGATATTGGCAATATTCTCCAGACTGTCGAGAAAATTTTGTCCAACTATTCAATTACATAATTTTTTTTTCATCCAGCCAACTTAAGACATTAAATAGTTAGCATTCTTTACCTTTATTAATTTCTCTTCTAGTGACAAGCACCTTGGCACTTGCTTTGTCTCAAAAGTTCTTCTTGCAGTCACAGTCTCTACATCAGAATCATCAATCACTTCAGACTTATTCCTTTGGATATGTTCCAGGGATGGCTTATTTTCCAGAGGCGATTTTCTAAGAGTGGATCTTTTTCTATTAACAAAAAATGCTGCCCCACCCTGAAGTGTAACTTGTGGTTTTATTTTTTGGCTCAAAACCCGGGGAGCAGTCACATTACTTTCAGTTGCACAATAATTATTCTCTTTCTCCACAACTGACTTATAGGTCACTTGATTTTGTTTGGAACTTTTAGAATTCTTCGCTGTAGGCTTGGTATGTTTATAACTAGGTTGATACTTAGCAGTTAAACTCTTCTGTGGTTTTTTGCTCTTCTTTTTGGAGGAGATTGATTTTCTCTGCATTTTTTCCATCACACTGGGAAAAGATTTTTCTCCATTAATAGGTTTTAGACAAGTGGGCCTACTCTCTCTTATCAGCTTTCTCTCCAGTGGACTGAGGTACCATTTATTTTTGTTGTAAAAGGATGCTGTGGAGACAGCTGATTTAAATGGTGAGCCTTGATCTGCAGATGGCAATCTATCACTCGCAGAAGTTTTGAGTAGACTTGAAATGAAGTGGTCTTGTTGAGAGCAAAGTGCCTTTTCTTCATTTTTATCATTATTTTGACAAAAGTCAGGTGATGGAAATATATTCTGAGTACAGTCGAAAATTAATTTCTTTGATGGAGAGTCTGATAAAAGGCTATGAAAAGAAACATCAAGTTCACTGATAAGTTCATTATATTGTTTAAAAATGAGTGTAAATATACCACTCAGTAATAAAGTACTTACGAGTCATATTAAAAATAACACAGCCGTCCTCACAAAACATCTACACTTTTTGGACACATTTAACAGCAGATTCCCAAACTCTTAATCAACAAAGCATTCCAACATTTTTTCAAAACAAAACAAAAATCACAGTCTAACTCATGAAGAGTTGATAAAAAGATTCTGACATGAAAGTACGTATTTTATAACCTACTTCTGAGGCTGGCACCATGGCGTAGTCAATAAAGCGGCACTGTATCCTGCTAGGTGCTGTTTTTGAATCCCGGCTGCTACACTTTCAGTCCAGTTCCCTGCTAACACTTGGGCACTGGCACCCATGCAGGGAACTCACAAGCAGCTCCTGGCAAGTGACCATTGAGGCCACTGGAGGAGAAAACCAGCAAATGGAAGATGTTTGTTTCTCCCTCTCTATGTAATTCTGCCTTTCAAATAAATAAGCCTTTAAAAAAATAAAGCATTTTCTAGAGATACACAAATTATATTTGTTCAAACTAGCTACAAATCTCCCATCAGGATTAATTATCTACAATAAATTGACACTCTACAATCTTTTCCATTGGGAATAGTTTATGCATCTGGTTTGACACATAATAAATACCAAGTATAGTAGTTCTGCCTTGTATTGGGGCATAGGTCCCAAGATCCCCATGGATATTTAAATTTCAGATAGCATATATATACATACATATATTCTAGCCTATATACTGTATGTCATATATATATATGACATATATATACACACTATGGTTTTTTCTTTTCCATGATCAAGTTCAATTGTAAATAAGATAATAAGAGATAATAACACAATTATAGCAATATGCCACAATAATTCAACGTAGCCTCTCTCAAAATATCTTGTATTTTTATACCTATTGTTGACTTTTATTTCATGGCTTCTCATAAGGGAATGCATAGTGATGGCATAATAGAGACTATCATAATCAGATATGAAGATACAAAGCAAAATGTACCCTTACTTCCAAATCAAAGATGGACTCCCATTGAAGCTGTGCAATGGGATGCTGGACTGCCTGACATTGTCTATACCTGCAATGTCAGGGCACACTTAGACAATAGACTGATGGACATGACTGCTTATGAAGGACTATACTATTGTAATAATATGGGGAAAATCAATTGGGGGATGGGGAATCCCAGAGCCTATAGAATTGTACCATAAAATTCAAAATAAAAAAAAGAAATTAATTTAAAAAAAGAAAAATATCTTATACTATCTTCACTTTTTCCACAAATATCGATGGACTGAGGCTGGTCATAAGTAACTAAAACTGTGGAAAACGAAACTGCACAAGAAGGGACAATAGTATGCGCTTTCTAGGACTGCTTACTGGTGAGCATCTACTATTATAAACACTAGGTAAAGGACTAAGGTGACAAAAGATTTTGCATACTTCTTAACCAAAGAAAACATCTTTTTGGTTTCTGAAAAAACTGCCTAATGTACCATGAAAACTTCTATATTTTCAGACTATATATACATATTTTCTAGGAGACTCACCTATCACAATTCTTGGAATGTTGCTTCCTCTTGTTTGGAGTAAAAGGTGCCATCTTGTCAGTCAAATTTCTAAAACAGAACAATTTTAACCATCAAATTAATAATAAAAACCACTATATCAAAAGGATATTGTAAAAGTATAAAAATTTGAGGCCAGCATGGTGGCTCAACAGGCTAATCCTCCATCTGCAAGCGTGTAGGCCCCGGTCTCCCAAGGGTTAAGTCCACAGCGTTGCTTGTTTCTCAAGGTGTAACAGGATGGGCAATCTCGGCCCTGGCTTGACTGCAAGTTCCCTCTTCCCTGCTTCCCCTTTTTAAGATGCCCTGGCGGGGGTGGGGGGTGGGGGAGAGCTTAGGAGTTGCTTGAGCTTTGGGAAAGTACTGGGAGGGGCTAAGCAGACTATAAATGGGGACCAACTTTGAATAAATTGGCATTCTCTTCACAAGAATGACCCACTGTGTCTTTTTTGTAACCCTAGTCCCTCCGCTCGGCCTATCACGTTTGCCTGCTGTTTAACCATCTTCACAACCTGCTGAATCAAGAGCAGAGCCAGAAAATGGGCCGGCACAACCCTCCCCAGCTCCGGCAACCGGCGGAGGAGCCTCGACCAAGCCGGCAAAAGCACCCTTAAGTTGTGATAGAATCTGAGCTCCCCAGGTGCTCGACACAGCAAACAAGCACCTAACAGAAAGTGGGGTGCTGCTCAGGCAAGTGCATGCACTCCGCCTTCCTCGGGCTCAGCTAGGTTCCTCTCAAACAGGCATCACCTCAGAGATTCTCTGGCAATGCAAGTCGACTTGCAGTTTCAGAGGGCTGAGACAGAAAACGTGCAAGAAAAACGCGCCCCTCTCCCGAATCCTGTCAGGGCCAGAAGACACGAAAACGTTGGCCTCCAAAAGATGGGACCTCGGGGCGGGCGAGGCGCAGGGCCGGTAGGCGCCTCGGGGCTCGAGCCCGCCAAGCCGCCCAGCGCACAGCACACGCTCTCGGTCCCTGACACTCGGCCCCGCGCTCCGCAGCCGCCGCCTCTCCGTGGCCCTCCACCCGTCCCTCCGCCTCGGCCGTGGGCAACGGTTACCTGCGCCTCAGAGGCCAGAACGCCCCTCCACAGAGCCAGCCGACCGCAGCTGGGAACGGAGCTCCACTCGCCTCAGTACTCTCCTCAGAACAGCCAGCCGCCCCAAGAACGCGTTCAAACTAGGCGCGCTCGCCGCGAAGAAGGCCCCCTCGTTTCGATTGGCTGCTGCTAGCGCCTGCAGGGGGTCGCCTCGCTGTGATTGGCTGTCCCCAGCCCTGGCCCCGCCCCCACAGGAGGCCGTCTCCCAGGTTCTCCCGCCCTTGGGAGGCAGAAGGTTACCGGCTCCGGGAAACCACGCCTCTCTCAGGTTCTTGCAACGCTTCCGGACTCAGTTCCCCGGGCATTGTGGAAATGCTTGCTGGGAATTGTAGTTCTTGGTCCAATTGAACCCTGAGTTCAAATTCTGAGGGTCGCCTGGTGTGAGAAGCGTTTATAAAGTTGCTTTCCCAAGATTCCAGAGGCGGTTTGGCATTCGATACTTGAGCTATTCGTCTCACCTTTTAGAAAATTAGTAATATTCTAGATTCCCATTTCTTAAGTAAAATTTTAAAAATTAAATGAGGGCAGGAATATCTGCCAAGTGCCAGGCATGCTTAGATGCTTTACATGTTTATTTCATTTACGCCTCACCAAAACCTGTGAAGTATGTATATTCTAATTTTACAAAGCTTAAAAATAAAAAGACCTAGACCTGGCGGAATAGCCTAGCAGTTAAAGTCGTAGGACTGCTTGTGGACTGGGAAATAAATCTTTTAAAAAGGCGGGAGGGTGGGCTCACAAATGGGTTTACTAGAAGATTCTGAGGGCTGATCAAGTTTGGTCAATGAGACATTGTCAAAAAATGGAAGAATTTGGAATCATTTAAAACTCAACAGCTTCTGGTGAAGTGCCACTTAAGCCAGCAGTAAGCTTCCAACTGTGACAGCTTTTCCAGTAAAGGAGACCCCCGTAGGGCAGGAAGCAGGTAAAAACAAGTTAAATTTCCCTCAAGATGTGGACGCCTCTGGGTAGGGGCTCTGAAAGCAGGGTCTGAGGGGCCCGCGTTTGTTTCCTTGCTCCAAACAAGAAGGCGTGTAGAAGTTTGTCTGTCAATCACCACTCGTTCAGGCTCCAGCCTCTTCAGCAAGTCCTGGACCTCCGCCCTCCTTCGCGCCAGGATTAAAGATGGCGCCCTCGGAACAGCGTTCGGACGCGCCGTCGTCCGCCGGAAGTGCGCGAGACGTTCCGGGGAGCGGACTGGCGCCGCGCGTCTGGAGTTGAGAGGGTCGCAGTCTGAGGGCTGGTGCTTGGCTCCGAGTACTCCTCGCCACCGCCGAGATCATGGTGTTCTACTTCACCAGCACCAGCGGTGAGTGGCCGCCGCGCCCTGGCGGGGCCCCGATAGCCTGCTCCAGGACCTCGTCCCAGCGCGCCTTGGCGGCGGGGGTATCCGCTGCGGAGCCGGTGGGCTCCTTCGTGCAGCCCTGTCCCGGGTCGCCCACCCACCCCGGCCTGCAGCCTTCGTTCGGCCACTCTGAGGAAGGAGGCAATGCCAGCCAGCTCTGTCTTCGGGGACGGGGTGACAGGGCCTGGGAAGCCAGGCAGAGCAATCTGAAGGAGCGTGCAACCACGGTGCAACCTCGCACCCGGCAAAAGGAACACCCCACGTCTCGGGAAGTGGCGTTGATATGATTTTTTTTTTTTTTTTGGTAGGCAGGGAAAAATACTTTTAGCTCCCAAGAAATGCTGTGGGCTCGAATTTGTTTCTCTGCTTATGATGTTCTCCGTGCGCAACACGCCTTTCCTGACCTAGCGTCCACGCCCGCGTTACTTAGTTACAGCTCGTGGGGGGGTCCTCCTAAGCCCTCCCAGAGTCGTAATTCTGCTTTTAGCTTCCTGTTTGTCACTTAGCTTTAAGTAGGATCCCTTTTACATAATGCCTCACTTCTTGTGATTTCCCAGTAACTGCTTGTTGGAAGAATGGGTCATGTTTTTGGACTTGACTTGTAACGCTGTGTTGTATTAGTAATCTCTGCTTGCTTATTAAAGGTGAGGTTTACGAGAAACTCGTTCTCCATGCTCGTGTGGCTTGGAATGGGTTGCTCTTTGCTTTGAAGAGAGAAGATGGCCCTGGGAAGTTGTCCCTGGCAGATCCGCTGCATGCCCCACTGCATCAGTCAACCATCTGTGTGGTTCTCCTCTCATGAGGGCCCCTAAAGACATAGATATCTACAAATCCAACAATGCGGTGCACACTTGCATTTTAGGCCAGATGCCTGAGTCCCCTTAAAGTAGTTTTGGATTTTTCAAGTGCTGGTCATGCATAGTTGTAAGAATCAATTACTTCAGATTTAGTGATCCTTTGCTCTTCTCTGGCCTCTATTATAATATCAGGATTGCTGCATTAGGAAAATACAGTCTAATAAAATTATATGTGTGCAACAAATCTTTCAAGATTGCCAAGATAACAAAAAATAGCTTTTTCAGTAAAACTAAGACGTCACCTGCTGTTAGTACAAAAAATTTTTTTTGAACATACAGAATCTTGAGGAATGAGTTTGGATAACCAAGTTTTTTGGTAATTTATTGCATTTTTTAAAAAATCAGGTGAAAAATTGCTAAAATTCCTCTGGAGCAGCTCATGGTGGGCTGCAGAGTTACAAGGAAATCACAAGTAGGTTGTGGAATCCTGCCAGCACCAACAACTTCAAGATGGGTGCTGCACTGTAGTGGGGGCTTTCAAAATGATCAGTTCCTACACTAGAACAATCATTGTTTGATTGAAAATTTTTAAATTGTGCTGTAATTACTATTTTCCTTCATTATTTAACATAGAAAAGAGTTTGATTCAGACCTTTTGCCTAGCAATCATGTTCTTTTTTATTCTTAATTTCCTATTTTGACATAACTTCAAATTTTTCAGGAAAGTTTCAACAATCATAAAAATTTCCTTTGTCTCCTGCTGGTACGTCTGAGCCCAACATTTTCCTGCTTTATTCTTACTGCTTGCTTTCTTTTGCTATTTTGGTGCACAGTTCCCCCACCTGGGCCAATTAAGTTGCAGTTTATTCCTAAATGCTTCAGTTTTTATTTCCTAGAATTAAGGACATTCTCTTATTGAAAGACATTCTTCATTGTTAAAACTAGGACATTTGCAGCATTACTGTTAACTAATCAACAGGCTTGGTCAGCAACCTAATGTGCAACAAAAGAACATATCAAATCGTTTAGTTGTCATTATCCTTTGGTTCCTCTTGGTCAATTGCCCAGGCTTTGTCTTAACGATTCTGTGTGTTGAAGAGTTCTTTTCTAGAATGCTCCTCAGTGTGGGTTTGTTCCAGTCATGTTCTTAATCACCTCATTTAATGCACATTTCTTCTGTCATCCTCTTGGCCTGCAGAAAAAAAATTTTGTTTTAATTATTTTAAAAATTATTTTTGTTCAATTACAAAATCCATCTGTGTTTTGTAAGCTACAGAGGTGTGTCCCTCACTTGAAGGAAATGTGTATGTGTATGTATGTACATGCCTGGTGCTGGTGTTGTGGCATGGTGGGAAAGCTGACACCTGTAGTGTAGATCCCAATTTATGTACCAGCTGTTCCAGTTCTGATCCAACTCTCTTCTGATTGGCTGGAAAGGCAGAGCAGGCTTGCTTAAAGTGCTAGGGCTGCTGCCATGTATATGTGAGACCCAGAAGAGGCGCTTGGCTTTGATATGGCCCAGCTCTGACCCTTGTGGCCATCTGCAGGGTGAACCAGCAGATGGAAGACCTGTCTCTTTTCTTCTCTCTGTAACTCTTTCAAATAAGTGGATTTTTAAAACGGGCTAAGATCATATTTAAACATAAATATATACATATACCTTTAAATAGTTATCAGTCATTTTTTAGAAGTTGAATCCCACTATATATTTGTAAAAATACACAGAGAACATTCTACTATTTAATTTCTTATTGTCATTTCTTTAATGGATACCTTACATGATATTTTGTTTATGGCTGTTCTATAATATGTTCAACCAGTCTCTCAGTGAGTGTTTAGACTGTTAAAAGACTATACTTGTGTGTTATAGTATTTAACTAGAATATATTCCTTATGGTGAAACTATAGGATCAAAAGGTGTGTGCATGAAATACTGCCAGCCCATGTAGAGTCTGTAGGATTTATTTAGTTTTATTCCTACCCTCTAACATTTGTTAAAAGCCTTATTAAACCAATAAAATGTTCATCGTGGACAGGCAGTTCTGTCAGCCAGTCAATGCAAACATTCTCTCTTTTTGAGTTATTTTAACCTCCAAGAAATTCTGAACTATAGTCATCATCACTGCTAATTGAAGGAATTGTGTGTTTCCTTTTCAAGAAAGGCACCAGAATAGATCATCTAGGAGTCATATCATTACTGAAGGTGAGGCAGTCCCTAGTTGAAGAATTTGTATGATTGCCAGGATTTAGGTTCCTTGACCTTAATGCGTGTGTATTTTGTGAGCTGCAGTGACAGCCAGCAGGCCTGGCTAGCCCTACCCTGCCCAGCTATCAGGCTTTGTAGACCAAGACCCCACTGACTGTTCAGGAACTGAAATGTTTGTGGTCAGACAGGTCTTAGTAAACTAGCTTGAAAACTGAGTGCACTATTGTAATTTCAGTAGGAAGCTTGTTTGAATCCACATCAAGGATTCTCATATTGAAACCATCTATCCCCACTAAGGAAATATAATTTCTAAGATAAGCCCTACTGTGAATATTCCCTTTAGGTTAAGATAGTGTTTCCTAATTGTGACATGACTTTAGAATCATTTGGAAGATCTTTAAAAAGCAGAAATATTTGGCACTTCACCCCACCCCAAGATTTGGGATTAGACACAGTGGAGCTAGGGCATAGCTGGTGATTCGAATGTGCAGGTTAGGGTTCAGAGTCAAGGATACAGAAGTTTAAGAACATAGGATAAAGAGAGCCCTTAGAATTTGCATCGCTACTGGAATGTAACTGATGTTAGCTATATAAAATTGCCCAAAGTAAGACTTAAGTATCGGAACAGCTAGAGTTTTGTTTTGTTTTGTTTTTAACTATGAAAGGCACCAGGTTAATAGGATTGAACTGTATC